CAAATACACATATCATTTATATAACTTGAAAATAGAATTGGGCCTAAAATGCTTCCCTGAGGAACACCGCTTGTTATAGGCATTAGTTTGGAACGAATATCATGAATGGCCACTACTTGGTGTCGATTAGATAAGTAGGATCTGAACCAATCTAAACTTGCCTTATTAAAACCCATTAGTTGTAACTTGTCCTCAAATAATCAGTCAAATGAATTAGACATGTTTCAGTCGAATAATCATGTCGATTATTGGTTATCATTTCATGAACAGCAATACAACAGGGGGTGGTAGGTGTTATGGACACTACACAAAGCTACTGAAATGGATTTTCAAGCATTATTTACCTTAACACACAAATATTTTGCACTTCTTCGGGGAATTTATTGGCCATTTGTGAAAAATAAAACAATTCACACTTACTTCAGTCCATAAATAAGACACAGTATACACATGAAACTTTTTAAAAAGCCAACTATAAACATTGGTACATGTGTTGTAAATGAGACAAATTCCAAACTTCAGTCCCATCTGTATACATATACAAACAAATCAAATTGCTATGAAGGCTCGTTTCATATCATAAGTTGTCCAAAATAACGTATGTACAAAATCCTATAGGATGTTACGGACACTACATTTTACACATATAGTATGCATGCTATTCTGTGATGCAATATATAAGTAATTCATTTGCTTTTTATTCTGCCACCATTGTTTTTGCTGCATATCTTGAGACCAACAGAGAATATCTTTACAAATCCTCATCACCAAGTCTTTTGGATAGGACTTAAAGGGAAAGAAAAATCTGGCAAACAGAAAACAAAAGTTGTTCTATGTAGTTCCAGGGGTGGCCCAATCGCGGTATTTGTTTTTTGTTTTTCTTCTCCATCTTCTTTGTTCACTTTTAAACTTTGAAAGAAGCCTAATTTAGTCATAGAAACATGAAAGAAGACATACAAAAAGAAACCATTAAAATTAGGAAGGAGAGATGAAATAATGATATAACAAAGGAAAGCATGTGGAAAGAAGGAAGAAGAAAATAAAAAGGATAATAATTTAAGAAAAGAAAAAGAAGAATAAAGAAAAGGATAAGAAATAAGGAAAAGAAAGAACAATAAAATAAAAAAAGAAAGAAGAGGGAAAAAAAGAGGATAATACAGAACGTCATGTAGCATAATCAAGATGAGCCTCCAAGACGATGTACTTCATTATTTTGAGAAGTAACTCTGAAGAGATAATGTATCTCATAGGACCATACAAGATTTGCTCAGTGAGACCGAAAAACTATAATTATGTTTGGAAAAGAAAGTACCCACAGTGTCCTTGTATATTATGTGGTGCAGGATTCAATGTGCGTTCGAAAAAGATTGCACTACGTGTGTTGTCCTCGTATCGTATGTGCTGCAGGATATATTCAGTATTTTTAGAACCTATTTTTATGAAGTCATTTAAATAGCGTTGGAAAATTGGGGTTAAAAAAAGACCACAGTCTGTACTTTATGACGAGTATTTGGACCAACTAAGTGGTATACTTGTAAAACCATTTTTAGCATTTTTTTAAAGTGATAATTAATATAAATGCAAAATTATGGTATAATCAATAATCATTTCTGATACATTTATTCAATAATCCTCAGATGTTCGGTGATCGTTGTTGGTGGTGGCAATTAAACCTGTCCAGTATTATATATATATATATATATATATATATATATATATATATATATACAAATGTTGGTTTACAAGTCAAAAGGGATCTCAATCTATTGTTTCTCTTTCTCTCTCCATCAAATAAGCTTTATTTATCGAGAGAAATTGTGAGCGAAAACGTAGACGATGATATATTTCATAATTTAAATGTAAATCCCCTCAAAGGGGATGTCCTCAATAGAAGGTATTTTCCATAGCCCTTAGGAGACACTATAGTCATACACGTACTGGTGTGCGCGCAATTGTTTATGTGTGTGGACATAAACTACAATTTAGTGACATATTATCTGTAAGTAGGCAATAAAATTATTAAAATAATGTATTTTATCATGCAAAATACATATTTCATGACATAGACAGCTTTTACATTGTTAAGTTTATTTTAGAACACTGTTATCCAGAAAAGGAGGTACAGTTTGGCGTGCAGGCCTTGACATTATTCATTCTGTAATGTCCGTATTAAACACTGGCTCCTACTCTTTTCTACCCTCGACATTGAAACTAAAACGCAATGGTGCGTTTAATATTATACCTTATTACAACTTACTAATATTGTTGAAAAAGAATAATGAAATTAAATTACTCATGAGTCAATTTGTTTTAATCTTTTAAATTAAAGTCATGGAAAATAGCTTATTTGTTTACGAAATATCATATCCAGGAGAAGACCTCCCAGGGAAAGAGAATTTGTTTAACTAATTGAGAGGAGCTACTGTATCGAATCAAATTTGAATTACAAATTAGTAGTATTTAGTTATCAAGCTGTGTTTTTACACCATCACACATTTGTGTTACGGAAACTACATACGTTACAGACACTACAAATGCCAATTATTAAATTGTTATGCTTAGCTGAATATTATTATACCACAGCTAGTCCCCGGGGTTAGTAACACGAAGCAAACTATAAAAAACTTTAAAAACATTTTCATATAGCAGGAATGACCCCGTTACGGACACTACAGGAAATTCCTGATAAACTTTAGGATCGCAATGGGGGCGTATATATATATATATATATATTATAAAAAATTGTATCTTTGTTCGAATTTTTTCTTCTGATGATGGGACAATATGTTACCCGGAAAATATAACCAACTACCAATAATATAATGCTAAAATATATGAATTATAGAGGCAAAATTATGCACATAGCTGTTTTTCAAAAAAAAGTGTTACGCTTGTCTCTCTTCACAGAAATAACCACTTAATCGCAATTCTAGGGTCAATTCTTAAGCCGTAAAAAAAATACTGAGTGGAGATAAAAAGGACTATAAGATGAAAAGATATGGCATATCTTGTGTAATTCCATGGTAACAACTTATGAAAAAGACACATGTTCGAAGTGCAAATGGGCAACAGCCAAAAAGTGGTATTTTTGGCCCTCTATTACCATTCTCATACAGCCAACACAAACGAAATTCAAACAAAAATTGCTGCTTGATGAAGAACTCATATGGTCCAACATATCAGGCCACAAGAAATTTAATTAAATGACTTTTTGTTTCCAGGAGAGATGCGTAACACTTTAGGTAGAATAGTTGCACCCTGATCGTGAGATATACCGATAATACATTGATAACGCTTACAAATTATTTTCACCTCTTCCCAGAACTCAACCTTCCCTTTAAGAGGGTATGAAATTTGATGATAGCATTATATGATACATTTTTCTTTTAAACACATTCAGATTCACATGAGTACCGTATTGATGTTTTATTTATGAACGAAATATACATTAAAGAAACACCTTATGTGAGATTCGATCAGTGAAAAAGTTCTTTACCTTCAAATGAAACTGAGCTTCAATTTTCTTCTTTTCAATGCAGGTCTCCTCCTCTCGCCCTTCCCCTCTCGCTCTCTCTTTCTCTCTATCTCTCTACCCCTCTCTTTATCTATACTATATTTTCATTTCTTCTATTAAATATGTTATTGATTACTGATTAAGTGGTTTTATTGATTAAATTACATTTTGGTAAAAAAGAACGTACTCAAGGAAACATCTTTCCCATCAGTAATAGAAACCTATAGAAATTCGCAGAAGTTGAATTTCAGTGGAGAAAAATAATCAATAAAGATTCATTATTCTTTTTTTTAACGAGCTGTAGTCCAATCTATCATCATCTAGATTTCCAATTCTTCTGTCATGTCTATGATATCAATACAGAAATAAATCTTGCAATTGTGAGATTTGTACTTGAAATTTATTTTATTGTCAGTTTTCCTTATTAATTCGTGACAGGAAGTGAAATCGTTACTTTAATATTTACTCTTCGTTCTATTAAATTGTACGTCTTATTAGACGTCTATATAAGCCTGCTTGCCGACGCAGAAGTGAAAATATTACTTAAGTGATTTTTAGTTGGAACCTTAGATTCATCTCTCTTTTTATGTTAAAAGTGTCATTTATATCGCAGTCTTTGTTTTGTACATCCTTAGTCTGGTGGCACTTATGCTAGAAAACGACTCCGAACCTTCAACAACAGCTTCATCATTAATCTCACACTACTTGATCTCCTAGTCGTGCTTGGAATTAGCACTTCTGTACCCATATTTTAAAAATGTGTATCAAGTCCTAATCGGGATCTTCAATGGAATCGTCAATGCTTCTAACATCAACGTGGTTGTAAACTGTGCTGATTGACACCAATCCGTCTATGATCCCATTAAGTCATCAACCATTATATCTCTCGATCAACGAGCAAGTTATCATCATCAACTCTCTGTCATTAAATAGGACAGAGTTTATTAGGAGTTTAAATCACGATTGGTTCGTCATCAGTTTCGAGGACTGCGAACATTCGCATCTATAGAATCTATAGCCACCATAAGCCCTCTTTTCATCTCTGTATCTATTGATTGATTGGTATTCGAGACAGGAGTCCCTTAATGAACATTCGTTTTCTCCATTTTCCACTTTCTTTGGTTTTATTTTAACTACCGACGTAAACCTCAGTAGAAAGCTTAATATTTACGGTATAAAGAATATTTCGAGTAACGCATAATAGGTCAAGGCTCTCCTGCCTCTTTTGGGTAGAGAAATTTTTAAAAAAATAATGCGCTTCAAAGAAAATTCGACACGAGTTTATTATTCGACTTAAATCTCTCTGCCTTGAGAATGGCATAATGAGACAGGTATATTAGAATTAACATTGCTTGCTTTCGCGTCTTTGTCAGGAACAGTCTCCTCGAAATAATTACCTCTTGCTTGTGCCATTTAACCACATAAAAGATCGAATCATACCTCTTCTTCCAGACGAGCTTTATTCTTGTTAAAGTGAAGAGTGGTGACTGAATTTCATATTTTGCACAGACTGGTTACATGTGACTGACTCATGGATGCAAACATGACGAATGTTTCTGACGGTACGCAACCCTACACAACAATCATGGTGTGGACTGATTTTCAATATTCAAGCGAATTCGTAACAGAGGCTAATTCCTTAGACAGTGTAAAATCAGTTTCGTTTCAACAGAATTTCACTGCAATCTTGGTTGGGTTTATCATACTTTCCAACACCATCAGTTTGGTTGCATTCTTGTTAGAAAAACGTCTCCGTTCCTACAATAATTACTTCATTATAAACCTTACCATACTTGATCTGTTAGTAGGGATCGGTCTGTGTCCCTACGTACAGCACATTTACGACGGTCGGTACCCCTTCTCTCACAATGCGTGTAAGATTCTTTCAGGACTTTTCCACGGAATCGTCAATGCTTCTAACATCAACATCGTCGTCATCTGTGCCGATCGACATCAAGCGGTCTATGATCCCATCAACCATTTTATCTCTCGATCAACGCGTAAGGACGTCATCATCAACTTTCTGCCGTGGGTGATTGGACTCTCGTTCTGGATTGGGTGCGTCACAGTGTGGGAGTTCGCCATTAGTTTCGACAACGGAGATCACTGCTTTCATCGAATTGCTTACAGTCCCGTGACTGCTTTGTTTCAGGGGGTATTTCGGTTCTATCTACCAATCCTTATTATTTCCATCCTCTATATAAGAATTCTCATTAAGATCCGGAAGTCGGCTGGAGGACGGAATGTTAGCAAGGACTTTGCTTCAACCCACCTTTCCAGCTCCACGGACACCGAGATGACTTCTGGAAGCATCCCATCTATTCCGCATGCATGTTTGGACAATGTTGATGCGAGAAGCGACAACGCAATAGCATCATCATCATCATCACCTAATGTAACGAAAATTGGAACCAGAGGCCAGGATTTATCGGTAAGTGAATCAACACTTATCTCTGAAATGTCTTTTATGCCAACCACGTCCGTTCTTCGTTTCTTTATATCTTTCTCTCTTCTTTTCCACCCCCTGCATTTCACAAGGATATAACATCAGATTTGTTGAAAAACTATGTAATTACCCTTTTCATCGAAATGTTAAAAATAATTCACCTATTTTAAAAGTTTGTTTATGAGCTGAACATTGCTTGGCATCACGAAAGACTCTGCGTACTATCTCATCGTTTTCCATTTTATCTCCCCCCCCCCCCTCTCTCTCTCTTTCTCTACTTTTCTTTCTCCATACCTTCTTCTCACTACCACTGTCTCTTTCTATCTCACCTCTCTCTCCCTATGTTTCTTTACATATTCAGTCTCTCTCTCTCTCTCTCTCTCGTTCTCTCTCACTCACTTTCTCCCTCCTTTCCCTCTCTATCCCAGACAAAATTGTCTGATCTGGTGGAATCGACTGCAGAAGCGCGCAAAGCGACTCGTACTCTTCTTTTCATCGTCATCGCTTTCTTCACGACATCGATTCCAGGAAGTTTGATAAGCCTGATCTACAGCATATCTCCTGCCCTCATCCGACCTGGCCTGTCACGACAAGCCTTTCTCTTTTTCACTTATCTCCAGTGTTTTAAACCCTATCTCATACGCCCTGTCTCAACCTTTGTTTCGGGCCACCGTTACCAAAATCTTCTACTGCAAACAATAGTTTTGCAATCTCTGCACAGCATATGATCTCCTTTTTACAAAGACTGACTGTTATTAGGAAAAATCTGTCTTACAAAACATAAGGAGGAAGATATTCTGCAGTATCCGAGAAAAATACCTATTGAAGTAAATATTTGATATCTTGAAAAGTTTATTTCGGACATTATTCAAGAGAACCCCCCCCCCCCCTCCCCCTCTCACCAGAAGGCTTGAATGTATATGTAAAATTTGTATCATGGTGATAAATCATCACAATGAAAGATAGTATTCTAAGATTTCGGTCATCTGTATAAACAAGACTTCGTTACTCACACAGAGGATTGTCTTTTTGAGCACACAAATTCTGCGATATCAAAATTTAGGGATGTATTGGCATATTGTGTACAATGTGTAACTTATTCTTGAAGCGATTTTTGGGTGTGTGTGAGACCTCCTTGAAAATTCTGAAAACATGATTAGGTCTAGCTCCCTTGCAACACCACCAATGTAATGCTACGTTTACACTATAGGCAGTGTCACACAGAAAAATCCCGACCCATCTTGAATAGACCAGATTTTAGAAATCTAGTTTTTTCATTTACGTCGGTGACAGACTGGTGACAGACAGGCTACGAATAATCCGGATAACTAAAATCCGGATTCTTGATGGGCCATTGTATTTTAAGTAGATAAGCATTGTGACATCACAAAGTAAAACGTCTCATTGAATGCGCGCTAATATACTTGTGCGCGGGTCATTGATAGCGCGTTGACTTCACACCTTAAATTGGATTATTTCAACATTGGTGTCTCAAAAGACAGAAAAATCCCTTTAAAAAACCCTTGAAAAATCCTTTCGAGAGAAAATTATCGTGCTTCATATGAGGATTTTTAAGGGATAATTGATGACAGACAGCCAATTAAGAGGATAACTAAAATCCGGATAATTAAAGTCCGGATTTTTGGCCTTATGTTCCCGGCGGCCACGGCAGCCCCGTTTGCCCGAAGCGTAGTGCGCCGTGGGATTTTTTTTCTGTGTTCAAGTTTTGTTAGGTCTTGCCAAATTTTCTCACGGTCTATCACTGTATCCGTGACGGGCCGTGAGAGGGAAAGGGACTGTTGTGGGGCTTAAAAGTGGGGCTATTTAACAATCCACTTTTCCGTGCTTTAGCCTAAAATGGAAAGTTAATTTTTTGAATGAATCATCTCGTTTTTTGCATTCAGGGGCATAGTGTTTTCTAAATCTTGAACCAGTCAGGTTTTTACATCTGCGTCCTATATAAAGTGAACACCGGGCTGTCGCAGTTAATATGTATAATTTTTACGTTTTCATTTTCATCGAGTGTCTTCTTAATATAGGAGAGAATCATATACAAAATATGATATGAAGGTGGTTTTCCCTCGGGATCGTAACTACATATTTTATACAAATATGCATGTAATAACGGGAAGCAACTTTGAGCTAGCGCCTAAAAAGGAAAGTTCATATTATATTGTTTTCTTAAAACGCACCCTTTAATGATATTTTTATACTTCTTTCTTTCCAGCTCTCAATGTATACCTACATAATTATCATTTAAGTAAATGTAATGAGAGAGGACCGTATTATAAGGGGGTTAAAGAGACCTTCCATTTTGATATCATAATACTTGTAGTAATACTTTTTTCCCAAAGGATGGTAGATCAGTCTTATAAGTTACGCCATCGCGCTTGTTCTGCATGCAGGAGATCAAATGACCTTAGTATACAATATATCCTTTGATAAGGAGGCTGCTTCTCGATATGATTATCGGTTACTCTCTAATGATATCTAGTTCTCTAATAAAAAGCGTAACAATGAGACTTAGTAGTTGTAATGTTATTCACAGTTAGCATGTTTTACGGAGAAAATTTGTAATAATCAGCCACCACGCGAAATGGAAATGTTAGGAATACAGCATGTTGAAAGAAAAGTCAACTCTTTTTGCAATATTAGCCCCATGGGAGCTAAAGTAATGACACGTTAAAAGTGAGTCAACATGCACAGTTCTTAATCTTTTCAATACATGATTCATCATTAATGAGCTTATTACCAACGTTCTACTATTGTGAAACCACTTCTTATAAGATATGCGGAAAGAAGAATCATATTTCATAAAGTCACAAAGGCAATGTTGTGATAATGATGTTGTACCGGTTTATTGGAAAGTTAATTGGTCTAATCCTATTTGTTATAATCCTTTTAAAACCATTACATCTTCATTCATTTAGTATGCTAACCACTGGTGTCAATAGACGTTTCATCCATAACCATTTGGTTTAAAAGCTACTTCGTCTCACCAAAACTTGTATGTTTGAGTCCATTAACGATTGAGTACATGAACAGCTACTTTATTTAATTGCCATTTTGTATATCTAAAGAATAATTTATTCCAAAATTCAGTTTGTCGAAATTCAGTTGGTCTATTTTCATTTCGTCAATATCCATTTCGTCTAATGAGCTATTACGATCTAGTCATGAATTTTTCTAATAACCATTTGGTTTTAACGTTTAGACCAGATAACCACAGTACCCAAGGCAAATAACTAAAGCATGTCCACACCATATGAAAGAAATATTTAAAAAAACTGTGAGCTATGAAGTGTGGATTGGTCTGAACTCTCAAAGTTCTAACTTCAACCCTGGACCCAGCACTATACCTAACCCTAACCCTAAGTATGCTAACTGTAATCTTAAACTTAAACTGTAACTTAAAACCCATTTGCCACTCTCATCCTAAGCCTATACATTTGACGAAATGAATTCCAGAATTTTCGCTGAAAAAAATATTGTATTACCATCAAAGATGCGAAGTATGAATTTAAAAAGACATCTCAAAGTACACATGTTCTTGATTGACGATTCCCTGAGGTATTCAGATTAAAAGCCATTAAAAGTGTTTCTCTATTATATGTTTCGCTCGATGGATTTCATTGAAATAAGCCCCATGATTGTTTCGTTTAGCGAACGAAATGTCAATAAGATGAGAGGACGATGTTGTCACCTCAAAAATAACATTGAATCGGTTATCAAAATAAAACTTTTCCCTGTATATATAATATCATTTTATATGGACACGCTTAGAGACTTTGGTGGTAAGCGCTTTGTAAGTAACGTTTTTATTATTATGTATTATTATATGTTTCAAGGACAAAACATATGTAGCTTAAGTTCGTTTAGTATGTCGCTGTTGATAACATCTTTTATCAGGGGCTTATTTTCGCACTGGATCTTGCGGCCTTTGAAAAGAGATTGTACAATTTGAATACGCAACGGTTGATAATTTCATTTCTGTAGCTCGCTGTTACCTGCTAACCTTCTGCAGCTTTTTCATAACAAGGATGATTTTAGGTTTATTAAAAAGATATTCTTCATTGTAGTTGACACGCTTGAAACTTAATAGGACGAAAATTTAATTCTACGCCTCGCTTTTGATTCGTTGGGGAAGATAGCATCTAAATATGACTGTATAAAACCTTCTGCTTTTCGTTAAGAGAAGTATTCACAGACAAATCTGTGTGAGATGCATCATTGATGATGGCCGATATTTCTAATAGCACGCAGACCTACTCAACGGACATGTTTTGGACTGATATCCAGAATGCAAGTGGATACATGAATGTCACTGCTAATTCTTTGGATCCCTTTGGAACTACTGCACCTAGCCTGAAGAGTCTCATCTTCCCCGCTGTATTTTTCGCGCTCATTGTACTTGCCAACATCATCAGTCTTGGCGCATTCTTAGTAGAAAAACGTCTCCGTACCTACAATAATTACTTCATCATAAACCTGACCATACTTGATCTGCTGGTTGGAATTGGACTGGGAGCTGTCGTAGAGCACTCGTACATTAAACGGTACCCATTCTCTCAAAATGCCTGTAAGGTCATAACTGGGATCTTCCAAGGAATCGTCAATGCTTCTAACATCAACGTGGTTGTGATATGTGCCGATCGACATCAAGCGGTCTATGATCCCATCAACCATTATATCTCTCGATCAAAGCGCAAGGCAATCATCATCAACTCTCTGCCATGGGTGATTGGACTCTCGTTCTGGATAGGGTACGTCACCGTGTGGGAGTTCGTCGTCGATCACGACAACGGACTCCACTGTACTCAGCTGTACTTTTTCAGTCCGTTGACGAATATGATCCAAAGTGCGGCCATGTTCTTCTTGCCTTTGGCCATCATGGCCGTTCTCTATGTCAGAATCTTCATCAAGATACGAAAGACGGTTGGAAGACGGAACAACAAGAAGTCGACCAATTTAACGGATCTCAACCTTTCCACCGTTAAGGATACTGAGATGACGGGTGTAAGCGTTTCATCGACATCGCATACAGGTTCATTTAGTGACATTACGGAGACGGGGAGCAGAGATGACATCATGGTATCATCTTCATCACGTAATGAGACCAAGATCGAAAATATTGACCAAGAAATATCGGTAAGTAATCTACACAATTTGCCTCTTATAACACGATAGCAAAGAGTTCACAATATTAACAGGACGGACAAAGAAAGAAGACAAAATATACAGTTCCTCAGGTAGACAAAGGAACATTCCTTCACTGCTATTATGTAAAAATGTGTAGAACAGGTGTCACATGCCTATTCACCTGTTCTACAAATTTGTACATAATAGCAGTGAAGGGATGTTCCTTTATCTACCACAGCAATTGTTGAGGGTAGAATGAGGAACTGTATATTTTGTCCTCTTTCTTTGTCCGTCATATTCATAGTGTCAGTAACCTTGTCCGTCATCTATTCCAACATGGGAATGTGAAAGGAACTGTTAACGTACAAATCTGAACAAGATTTCTGTATAGTAGGGCATTGAAATTTCTTTCAAGTTGTCTTAGCTATCATGTTTAATTAACGGCATTTCTAAGGCCAACTTTGTATCAAATAAATACAAAGGTTAGCAGCCCTAACGATTACACTAAACGATAAGTTGTTTGCCGATAGAATTTTCTCACAAAATCTCTAAATTTCGATCATTGAGAGGTCATTTCCCTCGCTCTCCCATGAGTTTTGTCAACGCGAGTAGTTCCGAATGGCGCTAAAGGAATATCTAAAAGTTTCGAAGTTGTTCGTGTTTGGCGTCATTTTAAAGACTGAATAGTTTTTATGGAAGATCAAATATCACTCTAAATGCATGAATTAGTTTTAAAGCATGTATGTTTTTTTCTATGAGCCTGTCAAAATCTACGGCGCTCATGATTTTCTCTCTTTCTTTGTCCCTCTCTGTTTCTCCTTCTAACAACTCAGACATCAACGTCACATCGCGTGGAATCGACGGCTGAAATGACGAAGGCGACACTTACTCTCCTCCTCATCGTCATCGCTTTTGTACTGACATGGATTCCGATTAGCGTAATCAATTTAATCTACAGTATCGAACCTCAACTCATCGTACCTCTTCTCTCAAATGGTGCTTTCACTGTCTTTAGCAATCTGCAGTACGGGAATAGCCTCCTGAACCCTATATCCTACGCCATGTCGCAGCCTCTGTTCCGTGGCACTGTCATCAAAATGTTCTCCTGTAATCGACCGTCGCGGGCCAACTAGCCTACTCATTCAAGCGCGTACGCAGGGGGAGGGGGTTAAACCCCCTTCAAATATTTTGAATTGTAAAAAAAAAAAAAAAAAAAAAAAGTTCTGAAGGAGGCAAACAAACAACAACAAATTCAAAAAAAGTATACTCCCTCCCCCCCACGCTTATTCAACGGCTGGCTGAGTCGTTGAGAAATTTTCGGTGCGATTTTCAAATTTTAAAATACCCCCCCCCCCCCTTGGAAAAAATCTGCGTACGCCACTCATTAGTAATAATATGAACGAGCTGCTTTTGTATAGAATGTTATTTGTGAAACGTAACGCTAAAAGTGAAAGCATTTGAAATTCACATATTAAGATTTATCATAATTTGGTGGTAGTTATTTAGGAAAAGCGCTGCTACAATTTGTGAACTAGTCAAGATGTTAAAGATCGTGGATATTTGATTCATTTGTGACGCATGCTTACTTACGATTGGGTGTATAGTAATCCTGAACTTACTCATATAAAATGCTCTTCTGTATTATGTTACATCGTTAGCAGCTTTGATTAAGGTAGGCCTAATTATTATATAAATTGTGCTAGTCTTTAAGTGTAATGCTATAACAACGTACCCTATTGTAGACTTTTCATTGCGTATATGATACAAATTGTTGGCCTGTACTTTTTATTGGAATGAAAAATATAGAAATTAGTTTAAAATCATGATTACTGTTGTAAGCCAAGTTAATGTTGGGCAAAATTATGACGATGAATAACAATGCAGTTAAAGGTGACGATGATGATGATGATGATTACGATAATTATGATGATGATAATGATAATGATGATGATGATGATGATGAAGATGTTAATTACGACTTTGATGTTGATTGTGACTATAATTCGTTTGCAGTGGTGCTCATGAAGTGAAAATTACTACAATCATTTGGAAAATGCCCTTTGTGACGATTTTGTTGCTGACAATGAAAATGAAGATGATCTATATGCGATCAGAGATTAGAGCGACGATGATGTAAAAGATGATAATACTGATTATATAAACGATATAAGAATGACGACTATGTATTATGGTAACAAGATAAAATAAGCAATGAAAATTAGAACAATTTATGATTATATTGCAGCTACAATATATTTTTTGATCGCGATGCAAAAATCGATTTTTAAATCTTTTTTTCTGTAGGTGTGAACGCCCCTAATATTATGTGAAAGCTCGTGGATATTTGATTCATTTGTGACACATGCTTACTCACGATTTAGTGTATACAAAAAGTGAACTTACATGTCTAAAATGCTCTTCTACATGTATTATATCTCATTTTTAACCGTTACAGCTCTGAATAGGCTTTTTGTTATATTATCTTTGCTTGTCTTTATGTTTAATGCTATAGAAATGTGCCCTTTTGGGATTTTTCATTGTGTATGATACGGATTGTTGGCCTGTACTTTTATTGGAATGAAAAAATATAGAAATTAGAATAAAATCATGATTACTGTTGTGAGCCAAGTTAATGTTGGTCAAAATTACGATGATGAGTAAGGATGCAATTAAAGGTGATGATGATGATGATGATAATCATGATGATCATGGTGATGATGATGTTGATAAAGGCCCGGTCCCAATGCACTTACGGATGCAAAGAGGATGTAAAATGTAAACACATCTTGCCATCCGTTGGAAAAACGCTATGCATCCGTTGTGTACTCATTGCATACGTGTTTCATACGCTCTATCCATCAAGCATCCGTCCACTGTGATTTCATCCGCGCAAAAAGTTTTGAGCTGCACAAAACTTTTAGAACGGATGAACTTCCACCGTGTACGATGTAAATCCGCGACAAATACGAGCAACAAACGTTCTATGTCCGTTATCATCCGTTAAACGTCCGCTGTATCTTCTCTGCGTCCTCTGGGCATCCTCGCAACTCACATCCGCTGCAGCTGAAAACGGAAAGAGGGAGGAAAGATACGATACATGGAACGTCTATACATCGTTAGTAGCACGGAAATAGAAAGGATGTAAGCGTATGCATCTCGTATATAAAGTATTCAAAGCTGTCATCCACTTCCATCCGCTTTCATCCGCTAGGCTTCCGATGAACATCCGTTTAACATCTCCGCTACATACTACCCACGTCCGTTATTTTCCGTTCTGTTTTCGCAAATTTTCGCAAATTTTGTCCATTTCTGGAACGGATGAAAACGGATGGAGCCACACTCGAAATTTTGCTCGTCAGCTGTGTCCGTTATGCATACGTTTTGTGTCCATCTGCCAGTGGGACCGGGCCTTAAACGGCTATGATGTTGAGTGGGAATGTGACATTGAATGTGACTATGATTAGTTTACTGTGATGTTCATGGAAGTGAAAATGACGACAATAATTTGGGAAACTTGGGAAATAATACTGATGGCACATGTATAAACGATATAAGAATGACGACTGTGTATTATGGTTACAAGATATAGCAAGCAATACAAATGAGAACAATTTATGATTATATTGCAGCTAGAATATGAATATACACTTCTGCGCTTTGATGAAAATGTGGAGAAGGTTCCTAAGAGCTACTTTATTTAAAAACAGCCAACAGCTATTCGAAAGCTCCTGAAAGCAAGTGCGTCTTCAAGAAAACGAAGACGGCGACAGATACGGATTTTCTTATGTCTAGTGGTGGGTTATCTCAAGGCTTTGGAGCGGCACAACTGCAAGCGCAATCTCCAAGAGTTACTTTTGTTTCTGTGCGAGGTTGTTTTAGAATCAGCCTGTCCTGTGTACTTCGTAAGTCAAGTGAATGTGGATACGATTTAAAAGATTAAATTCAGACCAATAATTTTGGATTTGCACATTTAAAGTGACCCGGTAACATTGTTGAAGGTTGATGTAAAAAAATGCTTAATATATGTATAAATGTTACTTATTATATTCCTTCTACTGTATACGAACCCACAAAACACAAAGATATTTATGGTTTTCTTTGAAGATGTCACTGTCTGACACCTTCGAACAGTAACTTCTCACAACCATTTTTGAATTTTCTCAACCGTTTTACCATTAAAATAAGACATAAGACAGGCTTTTAAAAATCTTTCAACACTTAAATGTCCGGAATAGTATATAGAGCTAATTCATTGCTTTGTGACAATTTACATTCACCTAAAAATGTTATCAAATTGTAGTAATATAGTTGGGAGAATTAAAGAATCGATCAGATAAGTTTTTCCAAATTTGTATCATTAATAATTTTCTGTTTTCACTAAAACTTTCAGATTATATTTAATTGTACTTCTAGCATTGAATTCATTACCTTAGCACTATTTTCTCTCATCTGAACGATGTTACCAAGTCCCTTTAAAGCTTTGTAAATAAGCTAATTAAGTATCTTACAAGAAATTCTATGCCTTATTGGCAACCAGTATAATTTAATTAAAACAGATGTAATATGGGAAATCTCCTAGTCTTGGTACATTTCAAAGCAGCAAACAAAAATGACATGTCTGTTGAAATAAGGTTATCCCTTAAATTCAGAATATGCATAAAAGGATTAGGAATGCTTATCAAGTATTATAAATGAGTAGGACTTGTCTCTACATGCAGAGTACAGAATACATTTTTCAATCGAACGAGAAGATCACATGTCTTTAAAAGACTGGGAATTACGACATTTCTCTAGAATATTTAGGTTTCAATATTTACTATTTTCATCATTTTTTAATGAAGCGGAAGTGAGATGTTTTCACTTTTAATAACAGTCAATTCTTTAGTATGGTTTGAAGAGATAGGGATAATAATTACGTAAAATGGAATATAAATTACTGTGCTGGCCAAAATAGAGTGACGGAGTATTAGTATATTACTGAGGGGACGCAGCCCCAGGCTCCTCTCTCTCGGATGAATAGTGTATTTTTAATGCAATTTTCATAACAAAGTTAAATTCAATGATCAAATTTATTGATAAAGTTAGGTAAAAAGCTTTATTCACGAAATTTCGGAGGTAATGTTTGTGAAATAAACCTATGTCATCTACGAAATGTTCAGCTCCAATTTATCCGACACTTGATGAAAACCCTACGGCAAATCTTCGAAAGGTTGCGACGTCTTCTGTTTTCGTTTCACGAAAGGTCGTGTAGCTAGCTGCCATCAGGAAAATATTTCCCCTTTCCATCTAATTTGTTTTAATAGATAAGAGTACTGTTAACAAACGACATCAGAGAATCTAGCTTTATTTATCATCCAATTATTTTTCCTGCATCTTTAATTGAAGGTCTGAACATAAAAATAAAATTAAAAATACAAAAATACAACCAAAACAAAATTGTCCAAAGCCTCTTACAGCATAAACATTAAATAATCAACCATAAGATGAAAATCCATCGTTCAAGAATGCCAAGGGGGTCATGTAAAATATTGTTAATATACACAGAAATAAAACTCTTCTTGAAATGTCAACAATTGTCAGCAATTCTATAAGAACATTTTGTAGAAAGCTATGCGTGTGGTGACATACTAAATATAAAAAAATAAAAAATTGTAATCCAGGAAGATACAAGGCCGAGTAACATATAATCTTAAAAGATTGACAATAGCATTGAGTATACGATGCACTTGGTACGAATGTGAAAGTCAAATAAAAACAAGATACAATGAACAAATGGAAAAATGCGGAAGAATTGTATCGTATCTGATATGTGATAAACTTCTTCAAAATGAATAAACGGATCATGCTCGAGCCATAAATATTACCACACACAAAAATAAAAGAGTTAGCGTTTGAAAAATCTTGTTACATCAGGCTATCACATTATTCACTTTTACACCGCAATCATTTTTTTTTTCTTCTTTTTTTTCTCACTTTAAGTTATAAGCTGCTTACCGTGTTCTTAATATCATTTTTTTAATACCGCAAACTACAGAGGCTAAATTTAAGACTGAATGAATATGCAACCATACAAGGCAATATGTCGAATGACGAAAGCCTATATACGACACAGTTTATTCTGTCCAAACGGTACACATTTGTACGGCCATTAACACTTTCAAAATTCCTATCTACTTTCATCCTACCATTAATCCTACTTCGTAAAATTTCTCCCGTGAATTGTGAAGCCCTCAATAATCGAAAAATCGTCACCTCACTTTCGAATAGCAGGACGGTCTATTCCATATTTTGTGTAGTACGTTTTATTGACAACACTATATAAAACAAATTAAAAAAGTGCTTTATTAATAAAATGTTATTATTTGTATGACGAAGTCTGTTTCCCTTGCATCGAAGTTTCAGGCTTTGAATACCAACATATCTGGTAAAGAATCAAAACACACAAAAAAAAACTTTATCTGGTAAAGCATCAAAACACAAAAAATTACAACTTTGTAATGGAATGAGTAAGAGGCTTAACCGAATCAAGGATATCTGCCGACCTTTTTTGTGTTAGGTTGATAGATCTGACATTTTCGATTGAAGCTTGATGTTTTTTATTAATGGCAGAATATTTGAAAGCACATACACGTCTTTCATGAAAGCCTTGAAGAATTGCATCAGAAGGACTCAAATCCTAATCCATTGGACATGAAGAGAGAGATGCTATGAAGAATATTTAGATAAATTGCACCAACATGGTCCAATTGACGTATCAACATAATTGTAGTTGCCATCATTTGTTTTCGTACGCGTTTCTTCTCAACTTTCTCAATTTAGATCGTTGAAAATATAATGCGATGCTACAGCAATACTTGTTATTTACTTTTTAATGCACATTTGTTATATGATTATTTTCATTAGGCTTATCTTTAATATCATATTTTGATATTATCACCTTGATGATTATCATCATTACTATTCGTTGTCAAATAAAACTTAGTAATCTCTAGAGTCTTCTGCATCCTGTGTTGGGCTCGGGACAATGCTATATTACATATATTTTATAAGTCTATGTATTTCATGTTTCTTCTTAAATGTCTGTAATTTTGTAAGTTCTAGCCTATGGAGGGCCTACTTTTTGTTTTTAGCGCTCCTAAAGGAGCGATAGCTCAGTCGGTAGAGCAGTGGTCTCGTAATCCGGTGACCTGGGTTCGGAACCAAGGCGATGCGCTAGTGCCCTTTGGTAAGGCATTAATCCTCATCACCATGTCCCTCGGCCCTCTGGTTGCTTACTTAGAAGCATTTATGCTTTCTTAGCAATAAGGTAAAATAACCACCACCACCACCAAATCATCGATAGTATAATTATCATTATTAGGTTTTATGTTCTACAAAAGGTATCCTTGAAAAGTCGTGCGTGGTAAAGGAATATATATTACTATTAATCTTCATATTATCATTAGCAATGTTTATCATCATTGTTGTCACCATCAAAACTATTCCAAAGAGTATAATCATCGGTTCAAAAAAAATCGCTGACATCCCCGTAGGGGTCTATGTTGATATTCAGTATGTAATATACGTATATTTCTGTTGATTATCAATTAATTCTATAATATGCTCCAAATACGTTTATGAACAAGAGAATTAAATGGTTTGTATTTAAAAGAAGCCAAATTCTGAACGAACTTGCTTTCAGAGCTCACTATAAAATATGTAATGTACGATGGGGCGTTGCGGCGTTGTGGCGTGCGCCTGTAATGCTCCAGCTAACAATGGAAGTCACAAACTAATTCAGCCGAGGACGCAGGTTCGAAACTGAGTCACGTCTTTCGGATGGTGAAGTTAAAGGTCAGTCCACAGACGTAAATACCCAATTACACACACACACGCTTCCAATACAGCATGGTCAGACGGAACATGCTTTCGGTCTGCATCTCACGACCACCATGAGGAGGAGAACGATGACCTCGATGCAAGCTAATAGTTTGAAAGTCGCGTTGTAGGAAGAGAAGTGATCCGCAATCATGCCTGGAAAAAATAGAATGAGAGCAATTTGAATCCACTATGTTGACCTGAATACCTAGGAATAAATCCCTAAAATTACAGTCATTGGATCAGTCACTTTTTTGTTCTTTTTTTCATTCATTGTGTTATCTTATTGAATCCTTATAGCGGAGTGTTCTTCTTCTTTAGGAAAAACGATCCATTATATTCAATCCAATCTATTTGTACATAATTAGCATGCGGCCCTTTAATCATTTGGTGCATGACGGATATCGTGTAATGAATATTCATTTCATGATGACTATTCGATACAAATAAACACTGATGCATATCAATAATATATCAGTAACCCCAATATTTTTGTTTTATTTGGTCTGCATACAGCTCCTAAAATTGCTGCTCTCTATCGCCACCATTACGTTCCTCGTCTGCGTTTGATATTTAGTACATGTCTCCCGCTAATGGGCGTGATCTTCATATCCATGGCAACCTGAAAAGCTTAAATGCAAACGATCGGTAGGAAATTGTGCCTCAAACCTATTGAATTTTACAGTCCTTTTTTCTATCTACTCTGGTAGCTAATAACATTATAGGTTTGTGTAAGCGGTTAAAGCTATTCAGTTCATAATCGTTTTTTTTTTTAATCAATTGCATTCCAAATCAACGGTTAGAATCACGAGGAGAGTGAATTTTTGAAATCACTCTTATCGAATTATTCTTTTCGCTTTCATGAAGGTTGTTAATCAGATTGTAGCCTTTCTGGAAACATGAAAACAAACTAAAAATCCATTTCATCCAATGCAGGCTAACAAAAAAATTACATTTTAATGGCTCATATGCGTTTTTTTTGTGATTCCTTACCACTCAAATAGCTACCAAGAAACGACCCGGATCCAAAACAAAGTGAGTCGACTGCATACGCGACATTAAACTTTTCTGGAGATGCTCTGTCCCTCACAACGAGCCGTCCCAACACCGCATTCCCTCCTACTGCCATTGCGGAGATACATGACGTCATGTACATGGCGTAGAAGTTGGTGAAATACACGTCGCAAAGAAGAGCGGCGATGTTCAGGGTTGTAGCGAAGAAATAGAGAGTGATAGGTTTGACGAGGCTGTTGGTAAGCATACCCACAACAACCCTGCTGCAGGTATTCCCTATTGCAGCTGAGAAAGTGATGATAATGGTGTTCCGGACAGAGATTCCCCTTTGCAGGGCATGCGGAACGAGAAAGGAGTGCCAACCGTTCCAAACCATACTAGACGCGAAAATTGCAAGAAGGAGCACATTGATCACAGGATCCACGTAAAAATCAGATTGGCGAATGCTGTTGGCGATACTACGAAAAACTCCAATCTCGTCTCTGTTGTCATCTTTAAAGAAAATTGAATTATGAAGGCCCCAAAAATTAGTTTAATCTCACAAATATATTCGGTATGATTTTGCCTCTTACTTATCAGAGTAAACAAGGTACATGCATGAAGTTCTCTCATAAATTTTATAATAACGATTAAAGATTTTAAAAAAAACATATCTACAATTCCTTTCTCTGCACAACTCCATTATATCATTCCAAGAGTATACCATTGTATGGTTATTCAGCTGTTTATAAGTAGTTTATTGGTCTCTTAACATAATATGTTATCGTTCGAGGGGTTGGCAAAACCCTCGATCTTGTCCATTGATCCGAGGTGGCGCACCTTAGTTAGCAGCCAAAGCATTTATGTGAAATTCGGACAGGGTTACATGTTGTCGACCATAATTTATCATTTATGTCAGTCTTCTTAGACTAAAGCACACGAGACCTGGGCCCACGAGACCGACAATGTAGGTTTAGGCCGTAGCAAATCTTCTGACAAAATGTCAACATGGTAAAAAGGCCCACGAGACCAAAAGGACAAATGACCAACATCTTCGTCTTCTAGGCTTTCTGACATAATTTTGGAAGGCTCACGAGACCGACAATGGCGTTCGCTTGAGACTTCCGGTCTCACGGGCTTTCGATCTACTAGGAGTACCGGTCGAACTCACCTTCTGTGTCATGACTTGGGCCGCTGTTGCTTTCTTCTCCCTCGTTAAACCCTGGTGGCGAACTCGGGACACTCTGAAAATCATTTCTCTGTGTGCTACTCTCATCCGATTCCAACTTAATTGCCATACCAACTGGAATAATATTTGCCATCAGAGCGCTAATGATGAGCAGTCCACCTCTCCAACCATAAGCTTGACGTAGGAATTCAGCTACTAGCGGTAACAGAACCATTCCGGCGCCATATCCAGACAAACCAAGGCTGTAAAGTAGGTTGAAATTTTGAGCCGCGTGGTGCAATGTCACGGTACAACACATTTTCACCAAACAATATCCAATACCTGTTTAACATGAAAAGAAAAGATGTGGGAGAATTTAAATTGAATTATCTTAATGATAATAATAAAGCAGATGCGGCGCTTCCGAGGGGGACATAAGGGGGGCACCCACTTTTTAAAGTACCCCAAAAGTGCCCCATTTAACATAGGAAAGTGCCCCTTTTACTTTGACAAGTGCCCCTGTTATCTTTTTAAAGTGTCCCTTCCCCTTTCTACCTCTGAGGGCCCCTTTCATTTTGACACATACCCCTTTTCCTTTGACAAGCTCCCATTCTCCTTTGCAATAGGTGTCTAGTTTCCATTCTCCTAAGTGCTTCTTTTAATCTCTAGTAAGCTCCCCCTTTCAGATACGAGAAGCGCCCCTTTCCTTTTTGATAAGCGCCCCTTCACCACTGGTAATTGCTCTATTCAAATCTAAGAGGTTCCCCTTTTGCTTTGACAAGTTCCCCTTTTCCTTTGTAAAAGTACCCATTCCCCTTTTAATAATTCCCCATTTTTCTTATGATAAGTGCACCGATTCAAAAAAGAGCCCCTTTCCCTTCTCATGAATGCCCATTTCATCTATGAAAATAGTTCCTTTTCATGCTCATGCCCCCTTTCCTCTCTTGTTAATGACCCTATTCAATTCTGAGAGATACTCGTTTTACTTTGACAAGTGCCCCTACCCATCCTGATAAGTGCTATTTTCATCTCATATAAATGCCCCTTTTATTTTGACAAGTCCCCCTTTTACTTCCTAATAAATGCTATTTTTCCTTCTTATAAGAGCCACTTCCCCCTTCTCTTAAAAGCCACCTTTCACCTCCGATAAATGCCCCTATTAAAATATTATCGGTCCTTAAAAGGACACTTTTTCTTTTTGGGGGAGGGTCTCGAAATTTGAAAATTTGACATTTTGTCCAGTTGGGGTGGGGGGGGGGTAAGGTCACCTTTTTAAGGTCACCTATTGGCATTTTTTTTTTAAATTTTTTTTTTAATTTATTTTTTTTAATTTTTAAATTTTTTTTTTTTTTTTAAATTAAAAAAAATCAAAATCTATTTTCGCTTTGAGATTTCCCTTTGAAGGTGCCCTTTTTTTCTCCAGAAAGTGCCCTTTTTTGTTAGTGCCCCCTCACTTTGGAAGTCGCTCTGCCGCCTCTGCGTACACCCTCACTGAATTATTATCTTTAGTTGTTATTCGATGTGTATGTTGTCATGTTGTTTCCAGAAAGTGGAAAGTCTGTTTTCTAACCTTCAATAAAGCGAAAAGCATGATTTGATCAGTAAGTTTCAACAATTAGCTCTCCCCTTTCAACTTCTTACGCAAACCTTTTATGTAAGTAGCTGTTAGGTTAAAGACAAACAGGGACTCAAACAGATACTTACCGGTTATTGAGAGATAGATTGACATTTGAGTGTTGCTGGTTGACATGGAAGTTAAGGCCACGCCCATTGGAGCGAGACATGTACCAGAAATCAGAAGCAGACGACGAATGGAATGGTGGCGATAGAGGGCAACGACTAAAGGAGCTGTATGGAGACAGAAACAATCGTAGGCTCACATAATTGACAACATTTCCTATAAATGATATACATCTGCTTGTGTCTATTTCAAATATTAATCATGAATTTGATATTCATATGCACGATATATTACAATAACATTATTGATATCAAGTTTTTAGGAGGGCTAACAAAAAATACCTGGATAAGAACTAGGAAAAACATATTGTCGTTAACCCCCCCCCCCTTGAGTTATTTTAATGTGTATGTTTTGTTTATGTTTTTTTGGAACCCCCCCCCCCCTTTAAGTTTTTTTTTTTTATTATTAATAAAAGAAAATGGCTAACCTAAAAAATGGCTAACCTAAAAAAGGTGACCTTACCCCCCCCCCCCCCCCCAAATGGAACAAAATGTCAAATTTTCAAATTTCGAGACATAAAAAAAGTGTCCTCTTACCCCCCCCCCCCCCAAAAAAAAGAGTGTCCTCTTACCCCTCCCCCCCCCCCCCCCCCCCCCCGCTTATTCAGCGGCTGGCTGAGTCGTTGTGAATATTCATATCTCATATAGACCTGCTGCAGACCTGCCGCATACTCTTTTTGGCATGCACGCATCTACGCATCAGTACTCGTTTGGTATGCTGATGTTAGAGCTGACCAATGACTCAACCCTTCTGTTAGCATACAAATACCCAACGGAGGTTAAAGTAGATATTCATTGAATTTAATAACTAATTTTATGTTCATTATTGCAAAGTTGAAACTTTGATTCGACAAGGTTATCAAAATTCAATGCTTGGAAACATTCGAAGTAATGAATATTATAAATTACAAAACGCTTAAATACAGCCCCGGCATAGCACCTGAAGGGCTCTCCGAACGCTGCTGAGATGTGTGAGCACAGTATGGACATGATTTGCACAAGCAGACGATGTCCCATGACATTTCACACATGTTCAGTGCCTGTGTTTTCATCTTCTCTTGAGTTGTTTCTCTTACTTCACTACCGTCAGGCTAAATGCATAATCTATTGCCTCACTCTAAACCCCGCGCATGATGTGACTTTGTTTTGGAAAATAATATGTAATTTGATATTTAATCTATTCCAAATATAAATACAAATAGACCAGAAGATAATAGTTGTAATAATAATAATAATAATTGGATTTATATAGCGCCTTTTCCAAAGGTTACAAGGCGCTGCTCTCCTAGACTTTCGACAATTTAAGAGGAGTTTTCAGGTAAGGTAAGGATATTGCAAAAAAGAAATATTCACTTCTGAATATTATTTTAAATTATGCGCAATATGCAATTTATAAATGTTACGTTAAGAAGATTGTTAATGGTTCTGTTTACTACCCACATATTTTGTTTTTTTAATTCAAGTCGTTGCTAAGATTATTTTTAAGATATGAATGTGTTAGCAAAGAAAATAATACTAAGCTGGAATAATTGTTGAATGTACTTTAATCTTTACCCTATGTTATGTTTCACTCAATCATTGAGTTATTAATGTACAAATTATGGTACTATTAAAATAAAAATCTCGCTTGAGGATAAGAGAAAAAAATCAATTATTGCTTTATATAGTTTCATCCCATTAATTTCCCTTTTTATCCCCCAAGCCTTGATATGCCCATGCCTTTGCCCAGGTTATATGATTTGTATCATATATTGCGTGCATGACATTTCACAAAATCGTTTATGAACTTTGAAGAATTGATACCATTTTCTGAATTTTGTTTATTCATAAGTATTGATTTCTATACAAATAGTTTATCAAAATTCACATTTTTCATGATTTAACTGAAACATTTTACTCTATATTAGTGCATCCACACACAAATGTATTTCTATCAACCATCTTTGGTGCTGGCGTGAAGAAATAAGATTCTTAGGGGGAAACTAGGAAATTTATATTATCAATGTAAAGAAAATAATTAGTGGATAGTGAGGCAATGACGTCACAGACTCATGAGAGAGTTGCCAATTTGTCTTGTGATTTTCAAAGTTTTTCATGTCATTAAAAATCCATAACTTTCTTATTGGCTATCCTGTTTTGCCCAAACTTTTTTTTGTTGGTTTGTCTGTTTTTCTGCTTCTGTTGAAAGTAAGTTATTTTTGGAGTGGACTTGCACTTTAAGTCCAAAATTATTTGAAAACCGAAAGCTATGTCATCAAAAAAAAGGGGGGCGTTAAGGTTTGCCACTTGAGTTTCAAAGGGGGCGGGACACGTGTCGGGTATATTCTCCCCTACCTCTAAAATGATATAGCATTATAGGAGTTGATTTTTGTGTCAGCGAGTTGAGATTTAGATTCTCACCTGGAAAGTTGGCCAATGCACTGAGGAGACCAAGAGCAATTCCAATATCGGTCGATGTCGTTCCAAGGCTAATGTTGATATCTTCCAAGTAAATTCCAATGGTCTTAATAATGCCTATATGACCGGATGCCCTTAAGAAGGTACACACCACCAAAGGCAAACTTCGAGAAGTTAAAATCTCATAAAAACGACCCATGGTAGCAGATCTGTATGGTATAGGCTATGACCGAATGATCAACCCAAAAAAATCGTCCTCACTTTTGGTAACTGGGTAAATACAATGGACGCGCAAGATTATGACCGAAGTACCAGTGTACCCTCTTCCTGTCTGAGCACCAAACATGTAGTTCAATTGGCTTGCTCACTCAGTCTTTTAGAGGAAAATGCTCATGTGGATCGCTTTGTCGCATATCCACCTGTGCACGAGAAGTAAAACGCGAGCTGAATGAGGTCTCAGTAAAATATAAACATGGACTTTTAGATTCGCACTGCCTTGAACGTCACACGTATAGGCCTAGTTTAAAAGTCAAAATCTAAAAGTTCATAATACTGTAAGCAGAAAACGCGTGGGTGTCGTTTGGACGCGGTTCGTCAATTTTCAAGAAAAGGGTACTTTTGGTCAATTTCTATTCAATTCAATTCAATTTATTTCAACCATAGAAATACAAATACAATAATTTATGAGAATTTAACAAACAGAAGAAGTTTGAATACAAACTTGTTGTTGGGGCACTAACTATGACATATAATATATCGAGAAATTAACAAAAATAAAATTAACAGGAAATTAAATATAAACTAGAAATTTAATTCGTCATGGGGACGAATTAGGTGGTCTGTCTTCAAGTCTTATGAGAGATTATAATATTTACTATATTGAGAAAGGGAGAAGTTATATAGACATGTAAACAATGATGATCATCATGATGATCATGATGATGATGATCTTGATAGTAATGGGGATGACGATGATGATGATCATGATGATCATGATGATGTTGATGATTATCATCAACAGACCACGATGACATCAGACTGAACAAAATTAGAGAACATTTAGATAGCGTATAGTCTCAGCTACAACATACTCAAAAATCAACAAAAACCAAGCAGAAATAACAGCGATATTGCTCGCAAAAGACAAGAATGTAGAATCCAGATTTGAGAAAAAGTCATCTCCCATAAGGATTACACGCCAAAAGTAATGGATCTAGTGATAATAGGGTAATAATAAAGTAAATATGGTTGTTTATTACATTATTTGCAATTGTACGTGTTTTAATATTCAAAGGAGATGGTAGAGTGAAAGGTCAAAAAGAAAAAAAAGTGAAGAAAAAAAATTGTTGGAGACGCCCGGACTCGAACCAGGGACCTCGAGGTCGGAAGTCAAGTGCGTTACCGATATACCAAAACATTTCCCATAGAGATTACACGTAAACGGAAAATGGAATTATCAAATCCCACTTTGTATGTGAGATATGAGCATGATCCCGGCATCTGATCGAGAAATAAAGGGCACACTTGTGATAGCTTATTGTCTCAGCTACAACACACTCAAAGCTCAGCGTAAACAAAGATAAAACGACGGAGATATGGCTCGCGAAAGACGAGAATGTAGAATCCAGTTTTGAGAAAAAGTCATGTCCCATAGAGAATACACGCAAAATGTGAAAAATTGACATGCCTCCTTTAATCGCAAAAATACGCCATGATACCATTGTCAAAATGAAATATTGTGTCAACTGCCTTTGTAGAGAATATTCTCAGGTAGAACATATCAAAATTTGAAAGAAAATTGATCAATATTTACAGAGATACAATCAATTTTTCAAAAATCTGCTGACGTCATAATATGCAAATTGAAATTTTGAGTTCGGAGGCCATTATGATGACGTCATGAGTTAATTGAGGATCAAATGAGACATGAATTCATATCTCCAACTCATGCTTTTTCCAACCATGATATAAAAATTGGGGGTCAATGGACTATCTGAAGAGCTATTTTGATTTTTAAAATGGCATGTTTTTGATCAAATTTGCATTATATTGCCCATAGCAGCACGCGCGGATTTTGAACTTTGACGCGCGCTCACGGCCTTATGAAAGGTCAAGAGTGACTGAAATTAATGTAAATTGTCATTTACGGTAAGAGGAATCTAAATCATGTAAAAAAAATTAAATTTGACTTTTTACGCGCGCTGTGAGCGCGCGCAACGCGCGCGGGGACACTTACGGACGGAAAATTTTGAAATGCTTAAAATGACCTGAAACGTGTGCAAACAAAATTTGGGACGAATTGGAGCATTTTAAAAATTTTAAGCGGGCGTACGTGCGCGTCGAGGTGCGCGCACGGATTTTGTTGACATTTTTAGTTGACCTTTGACCGGAAGTTGATGTATACTAAATATGGTTTATTTTTGATTACTCGTTATTGAGATATGATAATGACCTGATTTTTACAAAATGGCGCCTGGATGACGTCACGATGACCCCATGAACTTGAAAAAGGTTTCGGGAACTTCATATCATAGGGCCTGATGACTAGCAGAAATTTGAAGGAAATTGACCAGGTCGAGTTCGAGTAAACGTATACACAAAAAAAGTGTACGGAATAAATAAAAATAAATAAAGAAAGAATAAAGAATAAAGAATAAAGAATAAAGAAAGAAAATTCTAACGAAATCAATAGGTGATCTGTCATCGACAGACCACCTAACAAGAAAAAGATTATAAAGAGCTATATGTGAGCATAAGACATTTACAGCAAATCACCAGCCATGGACGCACACAGGACACGGCGTCAAGCGACACTGCGTCCCTATATAATTATGCGCCGGTGCTTACAGTATTTTCAAAATCCTACTGTATGTAGGTCACGGTGTGCTTTGACTGTGTAAAGAAAGAGAAAGCAGTTTTTAAATATTTATACAGAAGTCACATATGTTCTTTTTATGTATTAGATGCCCTGTGCTGATATGGATGGGTGCATGGGCGTAAATCCTTACGTAATCGGGGGGGGGGGGGGTGAATGAATAGATCATCCCCCTGAAAGGGATATGAAGCTATATAGTGCGGAAAAACCGAACATTTTCAAATACAGAGCCAATATCAAAGTTCAACTGTAAGGTCCAGACATCTTGCTCCGGCAAGTGACCTATACCACCAGAAAGCTGAAAATCCCCTCTTTTAGAATATGTAATCAGCTAAGAATAAAAAATGTCGGCCAAAGATTTAGGCGCCTTGACATTGAGGCACCTTATTTTAAATTTCTTGAAAGGGATATGAAGTTATAATGCGGAAAAACCGAACATCTTCAGAATACAGAGCCAATATCAAAGTAAAACAGTAAGGTCCAGACATCTTGCTCCGGCAAGTGAGCTATACTACCAACAAGGTTGAAATGCCCTCTTTTAGAATATGTAATCAGCTAAGAATAAAAAATGTCGGCTGAAGATTTAGGCGTCCTGACATTTGAGCATTTTATTTTGGAATGCTATTTTAACGAGATAAGACGCTATTGTTCGGAAAAACCGAACATTTTCAGAATAAAGAGCCGATATCAAAGTTAAACAGTAAGGTCAAAACATCTTGCTCCGGCAATTGACGTATACTACCAGAAAGCTGAAAATCCCCTCTTTTAGAATATGTAATCAGCTAAGAATAAAAAATGTCGGCCAAAGAATTAGGCGCCTTGACAGTGAGGCACCTCATTTTGAATTTCTTGAAAGGGATATGAAGCTATAGTGCGGAAAAACCGAACATTTTCAGAATACAGAGCCAATATATTGGCTCTGTATTCTCAAGATGTCTGGACCTTAATGTTTAACTTTGATATATCAAAGTTAAACATTAAGGTCCAGACATCTTGCTCCGGCAAGTGACCTATACCACCAAAAAGTTTGAAATGCCCTCTTTTAGAATATGTAATCAGCTAAGAATAAAAAATGTCGGCCAAAGATTTAGGCGTCCTGACATTTGGGCATCTTGTTTTTTAATGCTATTTTAACGGGATATGACGCTATAATATTATTCGGAAAAACCGAACATTTTCAGAATACAGAGCCGCCGTATTAAAGTTAAACAGTAAGGTCCAGACATCTTGCTCCGGCAAGTGACGTATATACCACCAAAAAGGTTGAAATGCCCTTTTTTAGAATATGTAATCAGCTAAGAATAAAAAATGTCGGCCAAAGATTTAGGCGTCCTGACATTTGGGCATCTTATTTTGGAATGCTATTTTAATGGGATATGACGCTATTGTTCGGAAAAACCGAACATTTTCGGAATACAGAGCCGATATAGAGTTAAACAGTAAGTCCAGACATCTTGCTCAGGTAATTGACATTAATCATTACATTGGTAATATTATTTTGAACTAGAAGACAAATATAATAATTTTCTAAAGCGAGAAGCATCTAAAGAGAATGAGCGATATTTTTTTTTCTTTCTGTTTTACCCTTTTGATGACACCGTAATTGGTCGCAAAAAAAAGAAGTTTTTTTGTAAATAATTCTATAGACCATTTTTTACCAGTTGAACTTATGTGGTCGCCAGATTCAAGGAGCGAAATAGTCAACTGTGACTGATTGCCAAGCAAAAACAAATCAAGAAGAAGAAGAAGAAGAGAAACAGTAGACCTAGATCTATAACGACCTTTTGAATCACGAAGATTCTTATCAGGAAGGGTAATGTAGACTAGACATTTGGCGCTAGTGTAGCAAGGTATCCAAAATATAGCCTACTAAAACAGACCCCAAATTTTGTGGTCATCATTACCCTAACCCTAACCCTAACCCTAACCCTAACCCTAGAACCCTAACCCTAACCCTAACCCTAACCCTAATCCTAGAGATAATGATAAACACGAAATTTGGGGTCTAAAATTTGAGGTCTGTTTTAGTAGGCTATATTTTGGATACCTTGCTACACTAGCGCCAGACATTTTGCCAATATTTGTAGACAATAAGAACACAGTGGATAGATTCTACTAATTTAAGCTGCGAGTGATAATCATTGACTGTGCTCATGTCCCATTCGTTAAGAAATGTGTATCGTTTTGCTTATCGGATTTTTTTTGTTGGGTTGTTGTTGTTAGTCAGATTGATTGATGCATGGACAGTATTACGGATGGACATTCGACGTGATTTTTTCTTTGATTCTATGACTGAGAGACACCGCCTTCTGGTTATGTGCATCTTAATGAGAACATTCAGCTGTTTTTAACAATAACGACTGCGTCGTAGACGTAGACTCTAAGCATTTTCGGTCATTAACTAAGGAGCAGTTTCCCTCTCTTTCTTGGTTTTTTTTTTGGATGGTGTGCTCTGTGAGTGTGAGTGTTAACTGTCTAAGAGTGTGTCTTAAATTAAAACATTCCCAATATTTAAAGCAGCAAAGTTTAAACTAAGGTAAAGACCAGTAGGCCCCTATTGGATTTCAAAAAATGAAATGGAAGCTTTTAAATTTATTACCAATCATGTGAAAGAAGGCGCTAGATCTAGTGTAGTTAAGTTTTTAGCAGTTTAATATCCAATCTTAGTAAATGAATTTTAGCCCAATTTTTTTACTAATTTTAGTTCTTGGTTTTAGTGGATGAATATTCATTTTTTCTTTTTGAACGTCCAATAGCTACCGTAGCTACGAACGAGTCAGCCGGGCTTGACCAAAGAACTCCCAAGAAACGAGTGCTCTGATTGGCCATTGGCTATGTTTTGGTAGGTTGACCTGGAAATATATCGGCCGCCGGGTCATATAGCTCTATGTTCGAGTGTATGAACGTACTGTTTCAAAGTTCTGAGATACAAATTGGATAATTCATATAAGTAAGTCCGTAAATTATGCATTTAATATTAAGTTATCAAATTTTGATAACTGTAATTAGGACAAATGACATACCAACCTAATTTACATCTGATTTAGAAATCAGAAAATTAGATTTAAATAAAGAAAATCGGTGGAGAAAATGTCGTGAACGAAAAGATGTTCATCGCTGGCTCTAGCTACCCCCACGGTACGAGATCTCTGGGTTACCGTCTGTATTGGGGAATGTCAACAAATGTCAGTTTTATTAAAGAAATGACCCAAATCAGACGGTTATTTCTGTCTACTTAAACTGAAGCTATCAGTCCAAAATTATGCAGACTTCTCGTATGCGCAATACCATAAACCATACAGCGTAGAGACGGTACTGAGCGACGACTTCGACATCGAAGCCCTAAACGAAGGTTTCCCGATGTCGGATGTGATCCAAATTCAGATGGAAAATGCAATATATGATTATGATTAAAATTAGTTAAAGTAGATATTCATTGATTTTAAAAACTATCTTTATTTTCATTATTGCAAAGTTTAAAACTTTGATTCGACAAGGTTATCAAAATTCAATGCTTGGGAACATTCGAAGTAATGATTATTATAAATTACAAAACGCTTAAATACAGCCCCAGCATAGCACTTGAAGAGCTCTCCGAACGCTGCTGAGATGTGTGAGATCACAGTATAGACATGACTTGCACAAGCAGACGATGCCCCATGACATCTCACACATTTTCAGTGCCTGTGTTTTCATCTTCTCTTGAGTTCTTTCTCTTACTTCACTACCGTCAGGCTAAATGTATAATCTATAGCCTCACTCTAAACCCCGCGCATGGTTTTATTTTGATGACAAATGCAGCGATACAAAAATAAAGGAATATCTGTCACTTGTAAACAAAATAAGACGCCATTGTATATTCAGCTGCACACACCGGGGTATGTTCGGCGTTTCAAGAGGGAACAAATGGCGTCTTTAATATCTTTCCGGGGGTTTTCAATTTGAAAGTCTGGTTTCTTTGATTGTTAATTAACCCATATCCTGTGTATTTACACGCAAACGATTTTAGTTATCAGAATTGGGTCATATCCCCTTTTGAATGGTTTGACATGCCATTACATTTATATACACTAAACTCATTATAATTTACAAAATAATATTTTTGCAATTATGTTCATTCTCTATGGGATGTCCTCTGCTTGGGCAGTGTTGGTCCATATAGTGACGTCATTAAAACATCGTTATTTTTCCGGCGATTCTCTCGTATATCCCAGCTGCTATGGAGGTGGTTGTATTTGTATTTTTATAAATCACCCGATATGTAGTTGACCTATAACTTGTCCGATGGCCGTCTGTTAGCTTACCAGTTTCTAGTGATACATTAGTTGACATATTTGTGATTTTCTTTGAATTTCACCTTTAAAAATTGGGCTAAAATTCCTTTGCTAAGAATGGATATTAAACTGCTTAAAAAAATGGATACGGAACTACACTAGCGCCTGAAAGAATATGTTTTGACTAATACATGATGATAAAATTTTTGCACGGAAACCTATCTAATTGATATATTTGGTAAATTTGTTTATCTATTGGACTGTGAGAGATAAACGCACATGTCGCGCACGTGTGCGTAGTCCCATATACCTCTTTCTGTGTACAGTGCTTGTAACTTTACGCAGACTGGGCCAAATTTCTTATCATTTTGATGATTCCAGAACTGTACACACCAATACTTATATGCTAGATGATCAACCTTTTCTGATCGATTCCACAACGTTTCTTTCACAATGCAATCGCATGACCATAACTGGTCTTTATCTTTAAAAGCAGACGATTTTGGTGATATATAATGTACCCTTAATTATTACTGATTCGCACACTTTCGCACACACCCATGACCTTAGAAGGTCATGATCTTTTTAAGCCCTGTGCGTTGTAACTTTGGAATATTATGAGGAAATTGGGGGAAACAAGATTTTAAATCACAACCAATCCCAATATAACCTCTAATCTATCTGGTAATATCAACATGTTTTTAAAAATAAAATACAGTACACGGAACAACAATCTATGATTTAAGCGATTTATTATCTTCTGCGCATGTAGATTGACATGTGTAAAATCACTATCTTGATTCTGTCCCGGCTTATTGGCGGTGACCCTCATGAGATCAAAGTGAAGAAATTGTACGGAATGTTATTGAGACGACATTGACGGAGACAATCACAATGAATTTGTTAACTAAACGAATGTCCATCCGTAATGGGTCCATGATTGATGTGACCAACTTGGCTGGAACGAGTCGAGACTACCAGAGAAAGAGAGAGAGAGCGAGGCAGGCAGGGAGAGAGAAAGAGAGAGAGAGAGCACGCTTAAATCATGAAAATATATCTGTTTCCTCTTTAAATATCTGTATTCTCTTCCCAAACTGTAGTGTAGGCTTGTTCAGATATATATATCAAACTAGTCCACCCAGCTGATAAATAGGAAACTAAGACATGAAGTTCTTTTTGGAATAAAGGTGAAACTTAAAGAAAAGAGGAAGAACACTAAGTGGAAAAAAATACCGCTAGAATAGAAGCATCATAAGATACAAGGTTTTTATGGACTACAGTCACTTTAGTAAAGTTAGACTGAGACTTTCAAAATTCAAGGCCATGCATTTTACTGCGAGGGATTAGAAAATAAAAGAAGTATTTAAGAAAGGCGTAACAAGTATTACTCTCACATGTACAGAGTTACAAAGATATTCCTGTTATCTCTGCACAAGTATTAATGTTTAGAAGAGCATTGTTTTCTGCATATATTTACACTTATAACTTAAAGACAATCACCTAACATTGTCATCATTATGTCTGATTATCAAATTTCCACTATTGTATAGTATTTAGATTTTAGACCATTTCTGACCTTTTAAAATCCTACAACAAGGTATGACATTTCTTTTATTTTTGTCTTCTTTGTTAGATGGAGGAGTTAACGCAGAAGTTGAACTTTGACGCGATAGGAATTCAGTGTCAGACGGTGAAGAGAATCTGTCAGTCTATCAAAGAAAGGAGAGCACACCTGATCGGTGATGAACCTATTTCTGCTGCAACTCGTAAAGTGAGTTTTACAAATGATTAATGTAGATTTTCCACTCTCAACCCAGATGTAGTGAAGTGGTATGTGGTAGAAGCTAACTCATTCAATGTTTTCAGTGTCTTAAGGCAGCTTCACTCAAATCAGCTGAAGTTCAGGGCAGCATGGCTAAAATCTGGGTTTAATTAAAAAGTGTACGCTGTACTACATGTAGGTACCTGGAACATCTCCTATGGGATTTTACCATGAATTCTTTCATTCTTTAAAGGTAGTGTATCCCTTTTGCAGCCAACATCAAATTCTGTAGAAATTTGCAGGAATTGTGAATATGTCACGTATGTCCTATCTGTTAAATTCAAACGTTAGCAGTATCCTAGTATTGAAATTATGAAAGAAAACTCATTTCTTTTCTAGACCTCGCTGTCAGACACTATTGAGTGACTGACTGACATACATAAAATGAGCTGTTGAGGGTTCATGAGCACTTGTCTACGTCAATAACCCAGTTTTGAGATGGCCAAAATTAAATTGATTGAATCTTTGCGCAGCACAAAATGTACGACCATTCAGTACGAGGGTCTGAAAATCAGAATATTTAGTTTAACAACTTAAGCCCTCTAACTAACAATTCGATTCAACAACTAATGGTCGTTATTTTTCCACAAAAAGACATTTTCAAGTCCCATTTGTTTTGAAGGAAGGTCTTAATTAGTATTATCTTTCAAATGCTGTTGGAATTTAACCTTTTCACTTTTTTTGGCCTGCAAATGGGTCATATACCTTTAAGGGTGATGATTCATAGTCAGATTTGGAAATCAATTTGGTTGTTAAAATACTTACATGTGCAACATCACAAGGACTCAAGGAGATTCATTTTACTTTCAAAACCTATGTGTTAGAAATATTGATCTTTCACTTTCTACAAGCTGTATATTACATTGAAATTAAACCCATCTTATTCTTATATACGCTCATGTTTTAAATATTTTGGGTACTAGTAGTATATTATGAATTTTCCATCATAGTTTTGTGAAAATACTTTTTCTTTTTATTTGTGTATGTTATTTAGATTTTATTGCCATTTCTTGTCATACACTCCTAAATGTCAAGAAAATATATTTGCTTTTAAATCTCAATTACCTGTACATTGTTACTTGTATTGTATAGAGGTATTAATGTGTATAACAAAATTTAATATAGCTGAAGGAAAATTAGACAGACTTATTGTTAGAAACATGAGCATCAATAAGCATCAACATTCTAATGGAACAAAGATAATACATTAATACAAAAAGGCAGTTCATACAAATCAAAAAAGAAGGTACTTGAGAATGGCGCATGCATAATTACATGTATATACCCTTTTCTTAAAACAAACAAAAAATAAAAAATAAAAAAAGTAACTCAAGTTATTCTTTCATTCGGCCGGTTACTGGAAAATTCATGGACCTTTTTTCAGTCCTAGACTCCTAGTCCATCCCTGCAGGAGTAGTATAGTTTTGGGCTTTATGTATTTGTAGGAAATAGTTCACATTAAGGAAAGTAAATGATAAGAGTCCAAAGCACCAGCATCCCAGTACAGATATCACTTATCACCATCCCTACCTATTTGTATTTCTGTTTGTAGATCGAAAAATTAGAGCTGCTGTGGTCGAAGTGCAGGGATGGTTCACCTCGCCAGAGCTCCCTGTGCTCCCATGCCCTGATCGAACTCTGGGAAGATGGCGTCCTACAGCAGGACTACATCCTTCAGGAGTTTATCAACCTCGTACCCACGGCCAGGACCGTGAAGCCATGCGTGGATGCAGTGGGTAAACTGCTCCTTATGTTGGTGAAGAAGTCTCTGTTTGGAGTGATGGGTAGTGGGGATGAGGTTGTGCCAGAAAATCGCTGCTATTTCTACATGAGGTGAGGTCTCATGAGAAGATGTTTGCATGGAAATTAAACACTTTGTAATTAAGTCCCCCATATTTGATAAAATGAGGACATAAAACGTGGACATAAACAATTTGCATGTTATGCATGAGAACCGCAATATTTTGAAATTGGAGTGAAGCCCGGCACCCCCCCCCCCCCTCCCCACTCAGTGTTATTTAGGGTACGCATATGCATACTTATATTGCGTCCATTAGGAGAGGATGTTTCAAAATCACTTGAGAGGTGATGAAAACTGGAAATAGGTAGAAATTATGAACCAAGAATCTTGAAACTCCAGGAAAATAATCAGGAAAAATATGGGAATTTGTTTTTCATGAACTCCTAGGGACCCTGCTACTTGAATAGCCTGCTTTTTATGCCTCTAGGTTTTTTCGTCCGTTCGTCTCTCCGTCTGTATGTTCTCGTGATTGCATTATCTCAAGAATCGATAGATGGATTCCTGCCAAACTTGGGTCATGTATGCAGACCTCCCAACCGTTCCGCTTTTGGTGGAAAATTTTCGCTTTATTTTTCTTTTTCCGCTTTTTCACTCTCATCTTTTATTTTCCGCAAAAAAGACATTGGTGAAGAAACACATGTCTGTACATGTCTCCAACGGTAGCTGGCAGCAATGCGTTAGTGAAAGTGGCGACCTATCATGTTTTGTGACATTTATCCCATTCATCAACAGGACTCGTCCGCATCCTTTCATATCCATGTACAAGAGTAGACCAGATTGCTGGTCCTCTATTCTGGAAACCGTCTCCTCTTTGCTCTCTCAAGACAACGATCGGTAAGTGTAACCTCACTCCAAACGAGATCACAACATAACTCTACTGTGACGGAAGTGGTTAGATATTAAAGCAGCTCAAAAGTTAAATCTATCTACGTTGGTACAATGTAGTCATAAATGCCATCATTTTATGGAACTCCTAATTTTAATCACATGTTTTGTGTTGTCATTTGTGTTTCATATTTACGTAGGAGTTTTATATGGTAAAAGACAATTTAACCTTCAGAGTATCTGGTATTATACAGCTAATACAGATATTGACATATACGGTGTGTAAAATTATTTTTATTCTTAGACAATTGAAGGAAGTTATATTTTCCCCAACAAGTTATATTTTCAGAAAGCGTGCAGAGCTGTGGGAAAATAATAATAATAATAATGATGGCTTCTTATATAGTGCACATGTCTGTCACGTTGTGACGCTCCTGGCGCTGCCCCGATTATTACCCTGGCTTTAGCAAGGTGGCCATTACGGCGCTCTAGCATTTCAAGGAATTAATTCCTGCCAAGTACCCACTTACATCACCTGGGTTAAGTGTGGCAAATGTAGATCAATGTCTTGCCAAAGGACAATAGTGCCGCGGCGGGACTCGAACAATGGACTTTGTGATTGACAGTCCGGTGACGTATCCACTCGACCACGAAACCTCTGCAAATATAATCATATGGTAAGTGTAAAAAATATTATATATAACACACCCTACCACTCAATATATCATTTCTCCCCCTTTAATTTTTGTTCCTCCTTGTTATTCAATCTCCCCGATTTTCAGCTTGCAAACAGAAGTCCTTCACATCTTGAAGTCGTTTATCAAGTATGCATTGCTGGACCCTCTCATTGATCCTAAACAGGGATCTCTTAGGGTTCTACTTGCAGAAAGTCTTGCCCAAGCATGCCGGCCTAGATTGATACCTCAGAGTAGCCCTCAAGCTAAAGAAGTATTGCCACTGTTCCTCGGCGAGGTGGTAAAGTTTTTGTTGGAATGCATGCCATGCCTGCCGGTGAGTCTTTTTCTTTCTGTTTTTTTAAAAACTTCTTTTGACATATATCTGAATGAAAGTCGAGGCTACATTAAATGGATCTGGTAACTGTGTCTCAGATTCTGAAACAAAATCCTGGATTTAGCTCATTCTGCAATGGTAATTATAAACCTTTAGGTCAGTCAGGAACCTCATGACTCTTTTACAAGCCGATCGCCTGTCTGATTATCAAGATATTTATGATTGGAAGTCGAAATCAAATTTTGCGTTTTACTAACGGTTTTCATAAAATTACAGTCTATTGGGGAAAACGGGTATGGTAAAACAGGTCACTCACAGATTTTAATTTTTTGAGGCCCTTCTTGATCATTTTGAAGCGCAATTCTTTTAGGGCTTCAATATTACACCATATCACAGACACTGATAACATGTAGGGCTATGCATCTCAGATTTCACATTGTTAAACGATGTCTGGTCTTATTGAGATAGTACATGTATTTATCAGCTTCATATCCTAATGATGGGGTTCTACTTTTTGCGTGATAATTATGATTTTCAACAAATATGCATTTTGCGTTCGTCTTTTGAATAATTATTAAAAAAAAGTTTTTACATTCATCAATATTTTGCTCAAAAGCGTTGCATAGAGTTTTGCAAAGTGGACACCACCTCTAATGTCTTCACAATATATTTTGAAACCAGAAGCAAATGCCACATAAATATAGTCAAACAGAACCTTGTTTTTATGTCGTGATCTCCAGACATCTACATGCGATGCAGTCACCGAAGCGGCACACCTAGCAACCGTAACCATGGACATCATCTCCGGTTACGCTCCATCTATTGATGTGAATCTGGTGGGACAGTCGATCTATTACTGTCTCTCACTGGGCCATCAACTGGAGGAGCTAGGGATGGATATGTCCCCGGTCTTACGCCTCCTGGCAGGGATGAATCCAGGGCATATGAAGTTCCAGGATGTTGCAATCATCGCGATGATAGCAAACCTGTTGTTGATTGGCTCCATTCAAGAACAGAATTTCATACTGCAATTTGGTGAGTAATCAGCTTTTTTTCTTCTGCTTTACATGTACCTGATTAGAAATACTCGGATATAAAGTCAGCATTTGTTTAGTTCAGTTATTAGATTAGAGAACTACTCTTGAATTGGAATTTTAGTGTTTTTGAAACCCTCAATCACCTAAACATAAATTGCCTAAAAAGTAATGCTTTTTTGGTGAATTGACTTTTCAGACGCAGTCATCATAAGCTGAGGACAGTTATACTAGAGCACATTTAATGCGACTTGTTTATTGAGCATAACTTTGGATTAATGTGACTTAACACTGCTTCTCAGTTTTAGACGTTTTTTTTGCTTGCTTAAGTACATTATAATGCTCAGATGCAGTCTGAATGGAATTAAGATAACATAGCCAATTAAAATGCTGAGTAAAATAATAACTTCATATTCATACTGAATTGAAATCACCCCATGGTCCCTACGTATAATATTGATGATGATGATGAACATCATACATAGGAAAAAGGGTTTGAAGTTGTAGCAGATAATATTGAATGAAGTTGAAGTTAATCAAATCAAGTTAAAGTTTTGCATGAATTGCAGTATACTTGTAATACAGGCTTGACCAAATGTACCATGTTTTCAGTTGTTGTAGAATTAAATATTTTTTCTCTCCTAATCCAGCCCTGAAGTTCTTTGGATCCCCTGCCGGCCCCACCCGGTCCAGGACCAAGAAGCTGCTGGTATGGTCCCTGATCCAGGTCCTGGATCACTTGCTGGGCCGTTCCACCATAGAGCTGAAGTCTCTGGAGGTCTCTGTGAGAAAGGAAAACTGTGAGATGGCGCTCAAACTCTTCCATGATATCACCGCTATCCGACTGACTCCTTTGGTAGAAGGAAGTGGTGATGTTCCTGATAAGGTAAGTTATAATAGAAGGGAGGTCTATGTGAGAAAGGAGAACCGTGAGATGGGGCTCAAACTCTTTCATGATATCACGGCTAACCGACCGTCTCCCTTGGTAGAAGGAAGTGGTGATGTACCTGATAAGGTAAGTTATGGTAGAAGGGAGGTCTATGGGAGAAAGGAGAACTGTGAGATAGCGCTCACATTCTTTCATGATATCACTGCTAACCAACCGTCTCCCTTGGTAGAAGGAAGTGATGATGTGCCTGATCAGGTAAGTTATGGTAGAAGGGAGGTCTATGTGAGAAAGGAGAACCGTGAGATGGCGCTCAAACTCTTTCATGATATCACCGCTAACCAACTTGGTAGAAGGAAGTGGTGATGTACCTGATAAGGTTAGTTATGGTAGAAGGGATCATCTAAAGAATGAGTGATATTTAGCCTATAATCTTGAAAGAAACCTTAGTTACATGTAAACCTTGATTAAAGAGAAGGTTGAGCTCTGGGAAGAGGTGAAACAAAATTTGTGAGCGTTATCATTGTATTATGCAAGTGTGGAAGAACATCAGATAAAAAAATGTTCCCTGAAAAGCATGGCTCTTCAAATGCCTTAATATTCTAAATATGGCATGTAACATCATACAAATCGGGACAGATTTTTATGCCACCTGTCGTGTAGTCCCATATACATCTTTCTGTGTACAGTATAGAAACTTTACCAAGACTGGGCCAAATTTCTTATAATTTAATGATTCCAGAACCTTGCAGTTCACATCATTACTTGTGTGCTAGATGATCAACCTTTTCTGATCGATTCCACAACCTTTCTTTCACATTGCAATCGCATGACCAGAACTGGTCTACACCTTTAACCAATTGCCTCCGTGGACCGGGTGCTTCCTGTATTAGCCTAAGAGAAGGAGATAATACAGTAGTCAACAGTTTCACCCTGACTACTGATATCTGGAAGGCCAAGTGTTAGCCTTTTATGTATATTACTGTAATGATATAACACCTTTAACTAGATGAAAATAGGACCCCCTGTACCTCATGCCATTTGTGACACATGTACACCATTCATCTGCAAGAATCTTCAGGAGTGAAGGAGGCAGAGTTAACAGAAGAAGAAGAAAAAATAAACCTATTTGGCCATGAAATGAGAATGAAAATAATTTGTAGATAAAGTTTTGTGTGTGTTTTCATTTAATTATAGAATTATTGTCGTTTGTATAGAACAATGAGATTGATATTGGCATTCTGTAAGTTAAAGAGAAGGTTGAGTTCTGGGAAGAGGTGAAACATTATTTGTGAGCGTTATTCTTGTTATTATGCAAGTGTGGAAGAACATCAGATAAGACATGTTCCCTGAAAAGCATGGCTCTTCAAATGTCTTCATATTCTAAATATGTCATGTAACATCGTAAAAATCGGGACGGATTTTAACGCCACGTGTTCGTGTAGTCCCATATACATCTTTCTGTGTACAGTGTTTGTAAATTTACCAATACTTGGCCAAATTTCTTATCATTTTAATGATTCCAGAACCTTGCAACACACACCAATACTTATATGCTAGATGATCAATCTTTTCTGGTCGATTCCACACTGTTTCTTTCACAATGCAATTGCATGACCAGAACTCAACTTCATATTTAAGGTTGAGTGTATACATGGCCTAAAGGCAGGTGGTTTTTGAGAATGTACCTTTAGAAGCCTCCCATCTTGATGCTTGCATGTTTTTACATGTATCCATTCAATTCCTCATGTCATTGGCTCTGGCCTAGCTTCTGTCTTCACCTCAACTTATGAACCTTACCAATTATAAGAATGGTCTTGGCATACACGAAGCAATGTACCTGGGACTTACCATGATACAAAACTCTTTTTTTTCTTCCTCTGTAGATTGTCCATTTTCATGGAGTCCACCCGTGGCACAACACAATGTCTGTTTTCCAAGAGACGGCGGTCACCGTCTTAAGCAACGTGAACACAGCCCAAAATTGGCTCTGTTGTCAGAAAGCCAAGGTGCATGCTGGGATTGGCGATACAGACATGGAAGAGACGATACAGTTAACCGTAGCCATCCTGTTCTCTTTTGGTCACCAGCTGGCCCATCTCTGTATTGATGTGCTGGTCGACGTTGGCAATGTAGCTCCTGCAAAGGTAATTGTTACATGTAGTTGATTTAAACTGGAGACCAATTCCTAGAACGTAATCCATCTATCTCTCTATGTCCCAAAGCTTGGAGGTGGTTGGGGAGACAATTAAATGGACCTTGAGACACAAATTCTCCATAACTTCCTGTCTACATCTGTTCCATTAAGCTGCTCAAATCAACGTAATACTGACACAAACATGTATCAACCATGTATTTTAACAAATAGGGTCACTTTGTTGTATTCAACTTTTAAAGATAAAGTTGAGTTCTGGTCATGCGATTGCATTGTGAAAGAAACGGTGTGTAATCGATCAGAAAAGATTGATCATCTTAGCACATACGTATTATTGTGTACTGCAAGGTTCTGGAAATATAAAAATGATAAGAAATTTGACACAGTCTTGGTAAAGTTTAACAAGCACTGTACAAATAAATATGTATATGGGACTACATGAACATGTGGCATAAAAATCTGTCCCAATTTTTACGATGTTATACGTCATATTTAGAATATGAAGGCATTTGAAGAGCCCTGCTTTTCAGGGAACATGTTTTATCTGATGTTCTTCCATACTTCCATAATGACAATGATAGCGCTCACCAATTATTTTTCACCTCTTCCCAGAACTCAACCTACTCTTTAAGGACTGGTCACATGCCAATCATATAGAAAATGTAGTGGATCCCAGAAACTCAATGCTGAAGGCCTATTTAATACCATAATAACAATAATAATGATGATACATGATGATAATGATGATGATCATGATCATGATGTTGCTGATAATGATAATGATAATGATAATAATAATTATATTTTAGAGTTGTCATAGTCAAATGGTTTTAGCTCTTGACTGGGAATGCAAGCAAAGTTGTGTGTTGGAGCTCTTGCATCTCACTATTTCCCATGGTAAGGCATTAATCAACATTTGCCAGTCTTGACCCAGGTTTAGTAAGTGGTACATCATTTAATTTATTTCTTTAAATACAGTCTGTGCTGGTGCCTGGTAAAGACTCCTGGAGCTGTGGCTAATGCCTCAGTCACACCTTTGCGCATTTGGCTTGCGTATTTATGGCAATCCGTTTTAACATTTATTCCTATTTCTTGATATCAAGAATTTAATTTTTGATATCAAGAATTACCATTGCTTTACAACAGAAATTCAATTCTTGATATCAGGAAAGAGGAATAAATGTTAAAACGGCTTGCCATAAATACGCAGCAATATACGCAAAGGTGTGACTGAGGCATAAGGGAACCATTTTTAAAGTTCTTTGGAAGAACATAGGGACATGTTATCTTTGCATTATATGTGTTTTTGTTTTAAGGGCGTATTCTTATATTTTTATCATCCTTTTTTTTTCCCTCAGGCTTACAGCATGGTGCCTCTTTTCATGTATACCCTAAGAAAGATCAGAGTGCCTGCAATGAGCACATACCTGATCAAAGCCCTGCCGAGGCTTGTGGGTCATCGCTACCTCATTAGTCCTGTCTTTAAGCTTGTCCTGAATAGTAATCTGGATGCCATGTCACTCAAACTAGTTACAGACCTCTGGAAAAAACAGGTAGGGTTCTGTCATTGTCATCATTTTCCTTCTTACAGGGAGCTTAATGACTTTCTTCCCATGCTGACCCTTCCTCCCTGCGCTTTGTCTTGTCATGAGCATCCTCCTCATTTATTAAACCAACCTTGCTGCTTTCATGCTTCACCATATCTTTCCATGAAATATTTTGACAAAAACATAATGGGGATCAGAGATCAATTCAGCTCTGTATGATATCATAAAAGCTATGGAAATATAATATGGAATAAGAAAGTACATGAAGCAAAATTCATAAAAAGCTCCCATGAATAAAACACAATTGGGCACTGCAAAGGACTAAAAGTGCTCTATTGCAGCACATAGCTTGTATTATCATGGCTTATGTACCTCTTTATTACTGCATTATTAAAAAAAAGACAGAGACAAAGTTGTGAATGAGATAAAAAAAAAAAACACGATGGCTACTTGCAGGACTACATGTATGTGTAGGTTTGTGTCATCAAATTAAGCCTGTACAAGTTAGATTTTACTATTGAATACAATATTACACAGTAATAGACCTCTAGAAATCAGAAAGTAGTAGCTCTAGATACAGATTGGATGTTCAGAATCGGTTTTTCCACTTGTATTTTTCATATTAGCACCACATGTTCAAACTGGTGTTAGTTTGGATGATTCAGGTTTTTTTTTTTAAAGGTCTCTTGTTCTATTAGGGCTGGGTTTACCTGTAAATGCATGTCATAAATGTGATTGGGTTTACATGTATGTAACATTTGATATAAAAATATTATAAAAGCAAAGAAGTTTTTCATTTTTCCCACCGTAGGATCGGATATTTCCTGAGCTGCAGATGAAACTAGCTGAATGTGAGAAAAGCATCGGTCATCTGAACCCACACACAGGGCTAGATGACATGCTCTTAGAGATTGCAATCTGTGTTTGTGAAGTCTGCACCCACAGGTAACTTTATCAAGAAGAATTCAAGGGTTCAGTGATACAGAGATGTAACTCCATATTTTGCCTAAATGAGTATTTGATATCAAAATGTTCAGAAAAATGTGGGCTTTCCAGGAAACACATACACTTAACTCCACCCAACACCCATTGAAGTCAATGGCTAGTGAAACATAGACTTAACCCCTTATGGCCCAAGTGCTCATAAACCGCTTTTTCTCAAAATGGCCAAATTCGAATTGTCCTTTATCAACAGATACATGAGATATGCTATGTATTCCATCATTTGACATTGCTTTCATGTGTTGTTGTTTTTTAACACCTCATAGAAAAACTACTATCGGTAAGACTATTGAAAAGAACTTTGTGGCTGTTGCGTGATGAATAATTTCTAAAAAGAAAAAGCCAATTAAGAAAAGAAGAAATTCACTGGTGTCTTTTTGATTATTTCAAAATTAGGTGATTGGCATAGTATTACTGCATGTACAGATAGAATATCCTTTTGACACATTGAATCTTTCATATGCTCTCTTTCAATCAATTTCACTTTGTGTCATCTCTCTCTCTCTCTCACACATTCTCTCTTACTCTGTATCAACTGTTTTACAATAATCTCTTCCCCCTCCCACTTGCCTTCTTTCTCTCTCTATCCTTCTTCTTCTTTTTCCTCTCTCTCTCTCTCTCTCTCTCTCTCTCTCAATCCCTCTTACTTTGTATTAACTGTTTTACTATTAATCTCTTTTTCCTGCTCCTATTTGCCCTCTTTCTCTCTCTCTCTCTTTCTATCCTCCTTTTTTTTCTTCTCTCTCCCTCCCCCCTTCTCTCTCTCTCTCTCTCTCTCTCTCTCACTCCAGACCAGTGCAGCACGGTGCGGACATGGTGCGGACCCTATCGATGGTCTTGAAGAAAGCCACCGGACCTCGGGGAGTCCCTGCTACCTGTTATGCCTTGGACGCCCTGATATCTATCACCAAGGCAGAAGATGTGGTTGACATCATAACAGCGTACAAGGGTCTAGCAGGGCAGTTTCAAGCGGAGGAGAGGTGTGTCTAGTGTTCCTGTTTATCCAAGTGAATATGATGCAGTCCATGTCCGTGTGATGTAATAATTCCCACTGTTGCTTTCTCTAACTAGTGCTTTTGACATTTGCTCTTGCGATAATTACTCTTAATAATTACTCTTTTGTCTAAAGTAGAAGTTCTGGGTTGCAGTTGGTTTAGGGCCAGGTGAAGGGCAAGGTAAGGTCAAGTTTTTAGTCTGGGGTTGCAGTTAGGGATATTATCCCAGAGCAATTGTCGCAGGAGCAAGGGTCGCAGGAGCAAGTGCCGTAGAACCTCGTTTAACCAGTTGACCATTGAATTAAGTCATTCCTATAGGATTACATGTAATTAACTTGTAACACAAGGTATTGGATTCAAATCCCTGCCACAACAATATCTCCCATTAGCAAGACATTTGCCATACTCTCCCAGATAGTACATGTAGTTACCATTACCTGGTAGGACTTGTTCCTTGAATGCACTGAGCGCCATGCTTGTTTGAACTGAAGCCAGGGTATTCATGTCCAAAGTCAATACCTGCCAACCCTTACAAATAATCCGGAATATTCTGTTTTTCTGAATTTCTAGGCCCTTAAAATCTGGAATATTCTGATTTTTTTTTTTTTTTTTTTTTTTGATTTTTTTATTTATTTATTTATTTATTTATTTATTTATTTTATTTTTATTTTTTTTTTTTTGGGGGGGATGCTAAAGCCAAATTAAGCTTATTTTGTCATGTCCCGTGATTTGAGAGTTCTCATATTGAGTGCGTTGAATGGCTGCATGATCGAGCAGCAAATTTGTATCACTGCCGATGCAAGTGCGATTTCTTATTTTCGATGGCATCCTTTGCTAATAATTCCTAATTCTTATAGTATACAAGAATGGCATATTATAACATTTCCAAATATGATTATGTATTTTATCCTGTCTGATTTTAGGCCTATGGTTATAGCCAAGTGGTGTGAATTTCTTGGACTGGTCCCAGAATTGCATGTGGATTCCAAGAAATATGAGGTATGGAGTTGCAGTCTGTAGCTTGATATTGAATGTTTATTTGATTTTGTGTTTGATTAGATTCTACATGATTTCATTCTTGTTAAAGTGATGTAATCTAACCTAGGCTGCATGAAATGTTTTGTTTACATGTATATACATTTCAGGTGACAAAGTCAAGGTGAAATATCATGTCAAGTCTTAACTGAGACTTTGTTGTGGCATCAACATCAATATTTGGAATATTTAGCGTGTTTTTTTCTTCAAATTCCATCAAATTTGTACCCGAGGGTTTATTATCAAGTATCACAAATCATATGACACAAATTCCTGGTCACAAAGTCAGGGTCAAAGGTTGTTATAACAACTTAATATGAGAATTAATAAATCATTTTTGTTTATTATTTCATATTTCATGAAAGTTATCAATCTTTGTACAAATAATAGTAAATATATTTTCTGATGATTCTTAGTCAAACATTCACTTCAAAATGTTGATTATATTCAGAGGATTTCATTTTTGGGGGCCTGCTTACTAATGGGCCACCCTGCCTATAAATAATGTCCCAACCTCGATTTTTCATCATATCCGATTGCGTAATGCAGACGAGGCCGCTAAGAGCGTTTTTGCTTGTTACTGATTATGGATGTATCATCTGCTGGCAGCTAAAAGATTATTAACTTTGGGTTAAATGATGGTGACGGTGATGTTTACCTGACTGCTAAGAAAGCATAAATGCTTGTAAGTAAGCAACCAGACGGCCGAGGGACCTGGTAATGAGGATTAATGCCTTATCAAAGGGCACTAGTGCATCAACTTGGTTTCAAACCCGGGTCACCAGATTACAAGACCACTGCTCTACCAACTGAGCTATCGCGCCTCCGCGATATGAGTTAATGCCATCCTGTCTCTGAACAGACAATTCATCATCGCTATTACTTCTTCACTTCTTTCACCTCTCAGGGATTTACAAGGGCAGTTATTAATCAACTATGGCTTTATACAGCGCATCCAGACCACAGAGTTGTTTCAGAATCTCTATCAGCCCTAGCAGCATTCAAGATATGTTCTTTCGAAATCCGTCATCTTCCGAGAGAGGTATGTACTGTGCAACCTGCTGCAGCGGCTTTTTGTTTAGAGAGACCGTCTGCCTACAAAGACGACATTATTCATTTCCCTTGAAAGTCTTTTTCATTGAAACTTTTACTAAATTAACCAGTACATAAAGATCACTTGCCTATAAAGACCTTCTTTTAAAGAGAGAGGGTCATCAGTTCCTTGTGCGGAAGGTCATAATTTGTTGACACCAGACTGGGTAGACATACCATTAATAGGTGTACAAGTCTGCACACAGCAAACCAGGAGGTCAATCAAGAAATACCTCCTTGTCTCTCAGAGAGACTTTGGGTGAGGCAAATGTCAGATATAGTTACTTTACAATTTGGGGAAAAGGCAGAGCATTATGTAAAGCCTGTTGGTCATAAAACTGGCTAATCATGGTGATTGACAACACCTGTTATTTGGTAAATACCCGAATGGTGGCAAATTCCCCTTGTGAGCCCAATTCTATGTCTTAAATGTCTCCCATTACTTTGACCTTTAATGTCCATGATGGCCATAGACAAGGTCATTTGACCGATTTACCAATATTGATATTCCATCAGAATATATGTATCTTGTAAAGTGATCTTAAAGGTAATACAAAGTTTTGGTATGGGGTCATGAATTTGGTTCAAATGATCATATTGGAAGCATATGCAATCCTACAATATTCAGTGACCGTTGTCGCAGTTGAAATCGAGTCTAAAGTTGTGAAATTTTAGATGATAAACTCTTTATGTTGTATAGCTCCATCTCAAGGTCAAGATATTAATTAAGCTATAAAACAATGTTTCTTCACTAAAATCGACCAATTAGCTCTTCCCGTTTGAAAATTATCTATCACAACTACATATTATGAAATTTCCATGGTCGCAGCTACCATTGTACGGCCGTAGTGGCTATTCAAAATTTCATCAAAATTTACCGGGAGCACCGGTAAATTTTTATATTCAATTTTTCTCGAAAGCAGAAGTGTTTTAGGGACTAAATTTTCTAGTGCTTCTAATGCATCCACAGGGGCATCCAACTATATCAAAATTGTAAAGAATCACTATCCACCCAATTTTCAAAATTCCCAAAACTTTGTATTACCTTTAAGCTCATAATTTTTCTACCATTTGCTAGATTTTTCTCTAGTTGTCAGTAATCCTTTCCTTGATTATTTTCTGATCCCATTCAAACTTATAATCAACCTTTTGTTTAATCTTCTTAAAGTACTATTTTGTCTCGGAATATAAATCATGCTTATAGTTGCTTTTGATTCCAAAGCTACTGAGCTGGGAGTGGAGATTTCACAAATAGAGTCATGCTTACTCGGACCTGGGGACAACTCGGACCGTTGCGAATATGGGGCCGAGTTGTCCCGGCATGATTGAATTTTTAATGAAATTTGTTAGGGTTTAGGGTTAGGGTAGGGTTTAGCATTAGGGTAAGGGTTGAAGTTAGGGTAAGGGTTGAAGTTAGGGTATGCTGGGACAACTCGGCCCCGTATTTGCAGTGGGGTCGAGCTGTCTCCGAGTCCGAGTTAGCCCGGATCCTCACAAGTATATCATTTGTACATGTCTTGAAAGCAATTGATTTTCATGAATTCACAAACATTTATTTGACACTGAATCACGTATGATCAGGCCACAAAGGATGTCCAGACGAAGCGGGCCCAAGATCGGAAGAGGAGGGCTGATGCGAGAACATCAAGAGGTGAAGAAGAAGAAGAAGATGAGGAGGAAGAGGAAGAAGACCTTTCTATACCTGGGAGCTGTTTCATTAATCTACTACCTTGTGTGAACCAGGAGGCAACTTCAGGTAAATTCCTTCATGTTCTAGATGGACAAGTTTAAAGCTTTTTCATCGGTCAGTTTCGTTTTTACTTGTAGCAAGTTCAGGAACATGTGATGTTCAGTACTGTTTAAGTGTAGGAATGGAATACACATTTCATAAGGTCTGTCAGTCTTTAAACTAAGTCTATTTTGGTAATCTTTGACGTCTGTAATCAGATGAATATGTGAATGGTGTGGAATGAACCATTAGAGCCTATGCTTGTACTGTTTCTGTAACATAGTTTATGAGCTCTGGGCCCCGTCTTACTAAGAGTTGAAATCAATCGTAACTATGTACATAAGAGATAAGAGACTGCAAAGTTGCGATTGATTGGAGGACTTGCGATTGATTTGGATCAATCGCAACTCTTTGTAAGACAGTGCCCAGGACATTTATATTATCGTTGATGACAGGCAAGGGGGAACTTCTTCATTCCTTCCTCTGTGACGAGCTGGTAGAACTCCCTCGCAGGTATTACTCCCAGACCTCCCCTAGACAGGCAGCTACCGAGAGCAATGTAAGCAAGCAGGTCTCTGGCATCCCCTCTGTCATCTCTCTGAAGAACCTGAACAACAAGCAGCCTGGACATAGACCTTCATATGCAGGTACAGTTCTTGGAACAACAACTGCAGAATACCTCATAACACAAGTAGCCCTTATTACCAATCATGTGAAAGAATATGTTTTTACTGGTACGTGATGATACAAATTTTGCTGGGAAACTGCCTACTAATTAATATATTTGGTAAATTATCATATCGATCCGACCTGGATAGATATCGCAAATGCACTTCAACATTTGGGCATATATTTCAGCTTTTTTGCAAATTTAGGTTGAAGTATTGCTATCTATCTGAAGGCAATATTTAAATAATATGAATGGATATTTTGCACCCAAAACCCCTGAACCGCAATTTTACCACTACTGGTCTATAACCTTAACAGTCCAACTCTCCTATAATATTTGAGGGAAAGATAAGTGTTCATGCATAAGAGTGTGTTATGAGAAGTGCCCCTTGGACTACCACCCACAAACAACTAAAATACCAATCCCCCTATAGCCCTAACTTCACCCTTACCCTTGGTACTAACCTTAACAGTCCAACTCTGCTATATTGATTGAGGGAAACAACCGACACCCTATCCCTCCCCCTTCTCCTGGACAATTGCCTCTGTTCAAGTACTTCCTAGAGCCATTACTCTTGTTCATTGGGCTAGTTGGGGAGGATGGGAGGTCCTAGATCCCCTCCATAGACAATAATGAGGGGGGGGGGTTCTTCATGTTTTTAAGAACTATTAATATATATACAGTAGGCTTGTGGATGCACCATGTGAGAGAGAGGGAGGATTGAGGAGTCCTGAAAAGGACTCTCGGTAATCTTTCTTGAGGGTGTGTAGTCCTGAAAAGGACTGTTGGTTATCTTTCTTAGCTGATAGTTCTAAGGAGAACTATAGCACCGATTGGAGAGGATGGGTGGCAGGAGTGGCTCGACGTTTCGAACAGGTTGACTATCCGTCGTCAGGAGTGGAGAATAGCTGGGGTGCGTGAGCTTAAAGTCACTGAGTAGTCGGCTCTCATGGGGAATTCGACACCGTTCGGGTGTTTACCCAATAACAGGTGTTGTCAATCACCAGGGTTAGCCTTGAGTTTTATGACCATTGGACCTTATGTAATGCTTTGAATTGCCCGAAGACTCTCGAGCTCTCCGAGAGATGAGGGGGTAATTCTTGACTGGACTATGGGTTTGCTGTGTGCAAATTTGTACCCCCATTAATGGTATTTCCACCAAGTCTGGTGTCAGCGAATTATGGCCTTCTGCACATGGAAACTGGCGATCCACCCCCTTTAAGTCACCAGGGTGCGGACGTAGGGGTACTATACATGTAATCCCATGTCCGCACCGGTTAAGATAGGGTTAAAAGGACGATTTTTGTTTTGTATAAGCTGGTCAAATATCTATTTTTCTTTTTTTATATCATGCTGTATAAATATATATTTTTTTTTTAATTCACGATATGATATGTATGTATTTAAACTTTTTTTCAATTTCCTCTGCATTTATAACCTATAATTTGTACAGGGCCTCTCAGGAAAACATTTTAATACTGAGAATTACCTTGTTTAAACAAAGCAAATTAATAAATTTCATATACTTGACACAGCTGGTTTGCTGTTCAGCTTCAAGCCCGGAAGTAAGAGCAGCAGAGATCCAAAGAAAGCAAGGAAGAATAAGACTGCCTTGAGCCAAGTTTGTTTGGATGAGCTCACCTTATTGCTCAATGAGGTAAGTCAGCTGTGACTTGTGCAGTGTTTATTTTGTTTATTGTTGTTTGTTTTGTTTATGGATGTTCTTGTTCTTTGTTTTTAATCAATTTTGGATGCAAAGATACATGTAGCAAATATAATAAGCCTATGGGAATCAGAGAATTCAGTATTCAACGGGTAAATAGATGGTTTTTAAGACTTGCATTGATTTGGGTGATATGCTCATTCTCTGGTTTGGTCATGAATTTGATTTTTTTTTTTTTTTTTTTTTTTTTTTTTTGGGGGGGGGGGGGGGGGGGAACAATATAGCTCATTTAAATGTAGGAGTGTGAGCCTCCACCCCCATCCCTTCTTCCACCCCAACTCCAAAAGAGAAGTAACAATTACATAAGACTTCAATTGATGTTGAGGGATCACTTTTTCCATTTTCTTCTCTCTTTCTTGTTTGTCTGTTGGTCCTTCTTACTGTTGCCTTTCTTGTAGGTCCCCGTTTCATCACCAGACTGGTTTTACATCATGCAGCTACCCAGTGCATGGGCTTCATTCATGTCTACGGCATTACAAGCTGTCATTGAGGTAAGTGAATTCAATTTAACCCATTGCCTACTGGAATCAGGTGGTCTCTGTCTTCGTTCGTTCGTGTCTCCTTAGATCAAGATTAATGTAATCTTGATCTTCGGAGTAGTTGCTACAACCGGCCGTGTCAGACACGTTGCCCCGGGGTGCGAGATAGGACTCTTGTAGCGTGCCGCCATTTAAAACAATTATACAATTACAGTTAACATTACATTTAATTAATAGTATGAAACTATTAAAATTACTCTCATGTTACGGGAAAAAATATTGCATATATATATATATATTATGAATCAATTGATTTGGTCGATCCAGTTCGATGGCACAAACACGGCACTACTGGACAGAGATCCTAATAATTACAGAGCTCTGTATTAAGCCCATGGGAACTAGAGAATTAAATTGTCAACAGGTTAACCAAGTACTAATCATAATAGAAAGAAGCAAATATCATAATTCTATCTTTGATTTGATGAATAAAACTCTAATGAGGTTAACAATTACCATCTTTAGTAATTAATGAAAGAAAAGAAATTTTGTTTTGTAGGTCAAACGAACAGATGTTGTGTCTTGCTGTACTCTAACCCTTTTATGGTCCACACATTTTCGGGGATTTTATCATAACTGAAGTTTCAAGAGTGAAATCACATGATTATGCACACTTGTAAAGTGTATATTTATCGTTGACTTATGTTAGAATTAACTTCTTTTGCTTAGAAGTAATACAAATCTTCTTTAGTTCCCGGGGGAAGTTAATCATCTTTCTACATTTTCTATCTCTTCCTAATTGAAATCAATCCTGGGGGGTATTTCATAAAGCTGTGAGTAAAGTTACGCATGACTTTACAAATGACTTGAATATGAAGAGCTAAATGGGATTCTCAAATCCTTATAATTGCATAAGCTAAAGATGAAATATGCAGTTGTAGATTAATCTTATCATTATTTCCAAAACATAATAATGCAAAGTGTATTTTTTGCTACAATTTAATTGAAATTATGGGAAATACAGTCACACTTTGTTAAAATGTCAGGAAAAACTTTGGGCATCACATGGGCTCTTCATATTCAAATCATTTGTAAAATCATTTGTAACTTTACGCACAGCTTTATGAAACACCCCTCTCAATACTTTTGTACCATACAGGGAAGACGTTCAGAGGTAGAGCATGAAGCATGTCGAGGTAGAGATGGTCCTGATGAAGAAAAGCAAAAGGAAGGCTTGGCATCGGCTTGGCTGTGGGCTCGGGATAGACTGACAGAGCAGCTGAGGACGACTGTCTTGTAAGGATACTTTGTTTGTTAGTGAAAAAAAGCTTGTAAGAAACAACAAAAGGCATGAAATTCAATCTATTTATCACGTAACGGTGACATAGCCAGAAGACCAACTACTATATTTTGTATATTATATAATTTGCAAAAATTGTATTTATATTATGACCTGCCAAGGGTTCAGAATGGACCATGCACCTAATAATGTTAACAAGTTGTTATATGTTGTATAGACTTGATAAAAAACAAAATCTATTTGATAGGGCAAATGCTTTTGTAATGCCCTGCCTAAGATAGTACTTACAATAAACAGTGAGGCATATTGAGGGGTCAGTGACACAAAGACGTAACTCCATTTCGGCCATTTTGGGAAAAAATGGTTTATGTGTCACTGAGCACTTAAATCTATGTTTCACTAATCATTGACTTCAATGGGGTGTTGGTTGGAGTTAAGTCTTTGTGTTTCCTGGAAAGCCCACATTTTTCTGAACATTGTGATATCAAAGACTCATTTTGGCAAAGGATGGAGTTACGTTTTTGTGTCACTGAACCCTCGATAATAATTGTTCCATTACAGGAAGAACTCTGGTGCAAGGGGCAATGCGATTCTGGCCTTGGGTGGCTTGGCACATGCTGTGAGTGCTTACGTTGTACAACTGGGAGAAGAAGCTACTTTAAGCCAGAGGTCAGCCTCCCAGTACGAAGGTCATAAGTCATGGATTACCAGGGTCGTGGACTCTTTTCAAGTTGCCATGGATTCAATACATACTGCTCAGTCAGTGTTCAAATTCTGCCAACATGTAAGTGTATTAAATTGCAAATATCTCAGGGCAATTATAATTCTCTTCCTTCCTATTCCTTCCTCTTCCTCCTCCTTCTTCTTCTTCTTCTTCTTCTTCTTCTTCTTCTTCTTCTTCTTCTTCTTCTTCTTCTTCTTCTTCTTCTTCTTCTTCTTCTTCTTCTTCTTCTTCTTCTTCTTCTTCTTCTTCTTCTTCTTCTTCTTCTTCTTCTTCTTCTTCTTCTTCTTCTTCTTCTTCTTCTTCTTCTTCTTCTTCTTCTTCTTCTTCTTCTTCTTCTTCTTCTTCTTCTTCTTCTTCTTCTTCTTCTTCTTCTTCTTCTTCTTCTTCTTCTTCTTCTTCTTCTTCTTCTTCTTCTTCTTCTTCTTCTTCTTCTTCTTCTTCTTCTTCTTCTTCTTCTTCTTCTTCTTCTTCTTCTTCTTCTTCTTCTTCTTCTTCTTCTTCTTCTTCTTCTTCTTCTTCTTCTTCTTCTTCTTCTTCTTCTTCTTCTTCTTCTTCTTCTTCTTCTTCTTCTTCTTCTTCTTCTTCTTCTTCTTCTTCTTCTTCTTCTTCTTCTTCTTCTTCTTCTTCTTTCTCTTTACCTCCAATTCACCTCCTCTACCTCCAATATAAATTTATACCTTCATACATCTTTTCATTTTTAAAAGGTTTGGACATTATTAGATAATTAGAATTGCATTCATTGGGTGTTCAATTGTTTGATTCAAGAAACTGCAAGGCCAGTCTGGGAGTGGATTTTGAGCACACTGTAAATCATCAGTCATGATACAATAGTATTGAAATATCAGTCTTTAGCAACAACCTATCTGAAAATATCACCTGCCTCCATAGACAACTTTTCTGTTTCCTTTGAAGTTTTAACAGTGTTTCATAGTGACACATGTATAAAATGAACCTACAAACTAACACCACCCGTCTAGAAAGACTGCATTTATGAGGTCTCCCTCAAGTGCTCAATGGGAGTTTTTATTTATTGTGGTTACAGCTCCAGCTCTGTGGAATTATCTGCCCTTGACAATTAGGAATACATCTTCTCTTTAAGATTTTAAGAGAGACTTAAAGACATACCTTTTCTTGCAGTAGTGTAACAATTCTTGTTTGTTTGTGTCAGTGTGCATGTAGTGTTGTTATTTGCCCTCTTAGATATGTTGATGTAGATTGTAAAGCGTACTCTTTAAATGTAAAGTGCATAGAGAATTAAGTGCTAATTATTATGCGCTAAATAAATTGCAGTTATTACTATTATTATTAAACTAGTTTGTATTTTTGACATATATTCCTACATATATTTCAAATTGTATCTTCTTGCTGTAAAGCATTCTCGGGACCACTCCCAGGCCACCGGTGAGCAGGTTCATTCCTGCGCTGCCCTCGCTCTTCCACTGCTTGCCAGTCACATCATGACCATGCCTACCAATGCCATCTCCCAAGTGATTGACAGGATGATGTCATTAAGCTCCGCCCAGCCCTCATCAGTGCCCATACACCATGGCCTTGGTGTGGGCATGCTACTGGCTAGGCTGTGCGTAGAGCACTTCACAGACATGACAGGAACAGAGGTCTGTTTTAACATTCTTCTTTATCAATTCATATTAAATTTTTACTAATCTTACTTTTGCAATAATAGACAAGCCATACTCTCATTTAATTGTTCTAGATGCACAAAAATACAAATTGAAATCATAAGATTTGATGTACATCTCCTATTATAATTTTTTTTTGTTCATGTCTATTGTAAGTTACCCTACTGAGTTTTTTCCCTTTAATTTTTCAGCCCTGATAATTTCCTGATTTACTTTTCTTTTCTTTTTTTAAATTTATTTTAAAAAAATATAAAGATAGTCCCTGAGATCAATGTAAATCTGGTTTAAAATTAAGGGGGATATTTGGAATAGAATTAATGAGTTGCAATCTGTATTTTGTATGCATTTTTAAACAAATGTCATAGTATGCTGGTCACTTTTCAGGAATCTATTGGAGTTAACTCTTTATTCCGACCATGCATTGAACCCGAGACTGAGTGGAGTGCATTATGTACATGTACACTATTATGATATATATGTGTAAAAAAAGTTGATTGTGGCAACCCCCTGTGTGTGACATAGGTTGATTAAAGCAGGTAAAGGGTAACAGTTTATTAGTTGAGGGCTTAGAATATTAAGATACTTCAATGTGCTGTTTGATAGCTCCAGTACCAATCCCCCCTCTTCTTTTTAAATCCTAGGGTGACAATGTCCTTTCCCGATACTTCGACAAGCTGGAGAACACCGTCTTGACTCAGAATAATAACCCACAGGGACATGTGATCGGCTGTACGCTGGGTTTGGGTGTCGCCCTCTCTGGTCTAACGCATGAGAGTACTACCCATGCAAAGGTTCATGTGTTGAAGGTCAGAGGGGATTTACTGAGCAAGATTGAAAGCCTCGGAAACTCTGCCAGTTGTCTGACCGAGGTAAGATGTAGATTTAAGAATTTGTGTATTTTACATTACATTACTGCCAACAATTTCTCTTCCATTGAATTATTCTTTTTTTTTTGGCAGGCATAGTAGTTTTAGGAACCGTAGATTCCTCTCATTATCACAAAACTTTTGTACTGTAATCCTAATTTTACTGTGAGGGATTCTTATTTTCTCTGGGGAATGTTGGCAAGCATAGCTACAATTATTTAATTTTGCATCAGGAGGTCAATAATATATTTATTTCTTAATTCAACTTTGACCTAAAAATTATTTAGTTGCTAATTACATTAATGTATATTTACATGCATACCTCAAGAAAATAAATGTTAATATTGCAGTTGAGCTCATTTCCAGGATATTTTGACAGATTTGATTTGTTTATTTATTTATTCTATTGTTATTTTTATGACTGTCTTTTACAATGTTTTGATATTTACATGTACAAATCCTACTTCTTTTCATCCGCTTTCTTTGCAGGCACAAGTGTTGTGTGTTGCCTTGGTTACTGCTGCATGTTATCAGGTCAACTACATCACCTCCCAGGAGGCGTTGCACACTGCCAAAATGCTACAGACCATGGCCCAGAATAACCTCAAGGTAAATATGCATGTACTTAAATAGTTTGTCTTTCTTGTGTTTTTTTTTCCATTTTTCATTTCATTTAAATCCCCACTGCACTACTTGTAGCCACTTGCTCCCTCTATATAGAAAACTTCCCCAATCGGTGCCTATTGGTCCCCCATGATTCTCTTTTTCTTATGTTAATTGAGAGCTGAGTTAATGGGATAGCCACCTGTCACAGTGACCTCGCTGACTCACTGGGTGGTCTAATCCCTTCTGGCTGAACTAGTACAGCCGGCCTTTAAAGATAAAAAATATCTTATGTGTAACTCTATTATGACTTTAAGGATGTGCAACTCTGTATTGAAATCCTCTCTGTCACCATTGCCCATGTTTGCTCTCTATCTCTGGTTTCTTAAATTTGGAGTTGTGTGAATGAGTAAATGACAAGAAAGTAAAAATGATCTATGTAATAAATGAGGACTGCAAAAAAAACGTTTTCTTATTACATCTATGACGTGAATTTATTTATATTTATTTATTTATTAGTCTTTTTTTAGTAGGGTGGCTCCATCAGTAGTTCAATACTGTTTTCCGTGGAGGCCCTACAACATAAATACAAAATTAACAAACATATTGAAAAACAAACAATCCAAATCGAAACAAAGTGAATTAAGTTACAACATTTTCGAACAAAAGAAAAGAAACAAACACAACACAATGGACCAGTTCAATGATTTAAATTATTATAGCGCCAAAACAAAAGAGTAAATGAAGAATTTGATGGTGCATTTTTTTAAAAATTAGGTAAAGTATTCCAGAAAGCCGCACCATCAAATGAAAAACTTTGTTTCCCCATCTGGGTTTTTATTTTGGGTAAAATTAATCCTGCGTTTTGTGCACTGCGTGTTCTAATATTATGTAAAAATTGGGTTTTTTGAAACATTTGTAAAATATAGACGGGAGTTTGATTTTGAAAAACAGAATAAATCATTTTACATTTGAAATAATTCCACCTACTTTGAATGCTTACCCACTTGAGTTTATTTAAATTTTCTTGAGTTGGGGTTCTTACATTGGCCCCCAAGATTACTCTGGCCATTTTCTTGTGTTGTTTAATGATTACATCTCGGACATTTTGTGAACAATTAGACCATGTATTACAACAATATTCAAATAAAGGTAAAATTAATGCATTGGCAAGAAGCTTCAGTCCCTCCAAAGGTAGGTATCTTTTTGAACGACCAAGTAATGCTATCCTTGACCCTATCTTTTTACTTGTTTTTGTCACGTGTTCTTTCCAGTTCAATGTTGGATCTAGCCAGACTCCTAAGTATTTATAGATATAAACCTGAGAGATTTGGTGTTGCTCGAGTTGAATGCATATAGATTTTTCAAGTTTAGCCAATTTCATTTGTGAACCAAATAACATAAATTCTGTTTTTTTGTGGTTTAATGCCAGATTGTTTTCTTTTACCCACTCATAAACTAGTTTCAAATCAATGTTCAAGGCCGATTCAATGTCCTCACTTTTTTTACTACTAAAAAACAGTACAGCATCGTCTGCATATAACATTACTTGGCATTTTGATACCACCTTAGGAAGATCATTCACCATAACAGTAAACAACAACGGGCCCAAATTGGCGCCTTGTGGTACGCCTGACAAAGTCGTACCCCAATCTGATTCAAATTTTCCGAGTACAACTTTTTGTTTCCGATCACTCAAGTATTCCATGAACCAATTAATTTCTTGACCCAGTATACCATACTTACAAAGCTTTTCTAACATTATTTTACGATCTACAGAGTCGAAAGCCTTGCGCAGGTCTATGAAGACCGCGCCTGTCATGTGACCCTTATCCATTTGTCTATAAATAAAATCAGAAAAATAGGTTAAAACAGTATGGGTACTATGACCTTTACGAAAACCTGATTGATTCGGAGAGAGAACATTATTTTCTGTTAGAAAAATAAATGCAAACCATCTGGATGAAAATGTCCTACACTGTGTTGAGTATGTGTACAACGATCATAGGCACGATCTACAACTTTTGTAGTTACTATTACAATTCATTTTATTTATAATTTCATTTATTACCAAAATATTCAAGATGCAATGAATTTCAGCATGACTAATATATATGTTTTGTTAATGGAGTCAACAAAAAAGCATGGTATTATTGATTTATCATTCAATCAATCAATTAATTTTTTTACTCAAATAATATATCAATTCGTCCCTATTTTCACGAAGTGACGGTAATAAGGAAAATCATCACGCAAATTATATGCGATTTTCCTCATTACCATCACTTCATGAAAATAGGGACGAATTGATTGATTGGTTTAGAAACACATGAAATAAATGAATTTGTTTCCATTCTTTTTTGTATGTTATATGTTTGTTTTCTTCCCCCTTTTGTATTGGTGCAGTGTATTCCATTAGCAGTGGGTACTGGTCTACTGATGCACAGTCTTACGAGGATAGGTCATCAGGAAGTGATCCCTCTCTACAACAATCAGCAAGCAGAGCTCCTCAGACTTCTCACTGACAAGGTGACCTTTCATTTTATTAAACCCTTCACTGCCTTGGGGTGACAAATCTTGCCCTAGAATTGTAACGCATCGCACACAGGGACCGGGTTGTATCAAAACTAATAAAAATGAGAGAATTCAGTAGTTGAGAGGTTAATAAGGTATTGTTTTTTTCCACCTTAAAAGGGAACATATACGCCCATGCTAAAGTTATTCCCATGGAAACTGTTCAATGCCCAATTTAACAACAAAACAAAACATTAGGAATGATAGTTTTACTCTTGAAAAAAATAATTTAAGGCATTCTTTTTTTGTAATTGATGGTACAAATGGTGATTAAGTCAGTTCTGGTGGGTCATTGGATTCATATTCCATGTGCCATATTCTACGAAGTGTTGTTTTATATTTGTTTACCTAATTTTCTACTGTAAGTCTTGACGCTTTTACTGTGACTGCAAAAATATTGTCATAGATTTGAGACTTGGGTGGATGAGGAAAAAAATTCCAAAGGTGAAGATTCATTAGAGGTGTTGTGGCCAAGTGGATAGGTCACCGGACTGTGGAACACAAGGTCCACGGTTCAAGTCCTGCCGCAGCACTAATGCCCTTTGGCAAGACATTGATCTACATTTGCCACGCTTGACCCAAGTGATGTAAATGGGTAGCTGGCAGGAATTAATTCTTTGAAATGCTGGAGCGCCGTAATGGCAGCCTTGCTAAAGCCGGGTAATAATGGTGAAGCGCCAGGAGTGTCAAGTCTGACAGATATGAACGCTATACAAGAACCCACTGTTATTATTAGTAATGCTATAACTATATTCTGATACTTTTCCTATAGGATAGCAGCATAGACCTGATAAAGTCATCAGTAGCTGGACTAGTAGCCCTCTTGGTCGGGCCGGGTCATCTAGTCCAGAGTGAACGTAGACCAGGACCTGAACATCGAGGTCTCAGCTCTGCAGTCAAGATGCTATGTCAGGTAAACCCATGCCAGCTATAGTCATAATTACATTTTAATTGTATGCCATTCTTGCAATGCACCTAGAAATATAGTATTAAGTGCATTAGAAATGTGACGTGCAGTATTATTATTTATTATAAAGCAGCATGAGGCATTATCATTTTGGGTTATCCATTTATACCTCAATCATTTTAAATTGTCTTTTACCAGGCATATCCTGCTGAAAATATCACTACATTCTAAATAAAAATAGTGTGCACAATTATCACACTATGTCATTGAACTCTAGCTAGTGTGAGAAAAAAGTAGGTCATCTAGAATGTGAAGTCCTTTGATTGACAGGATGTATGTTACACAGGACATGCTTGCATGAAATTTACATGAGCAGGTATGCAATATACACCAAGCACCTGTGCAATGTACACTGGGAGGTATGTTGAACAATGGCAAGCTTGTAGATTACAGGAGGTAAGAAATCTACTGAGAAGTTAATTTCACTCTTAAACTCTGTAAACAAGTTGGAATGTAATTTACAATGACAGCTCTTCTTTTTTTGCCCATTAGAGATGATAGGGTTTTGAAAGTCATTTTCAAATCTGCATTTATAATTTATTTTTGCTGGTGAATTAAGAATTTTCCAGTATCCTGAGTTAATTTATAGAGAATTATGTTGGTATCTTGATTTATCTATGTATTATCTGAAACATGGACATGTATCTTACCCTATTTTAAAGCAAAATTTGCAATAAATTACATTATTGCTCATTAAACTAATTATTTTAGAGAGATATTGACGGTACAGTCACTTTCATGTATCAGTGGCTCATTGTGCAATAGGCAGAGGTCGATTTGCATAGAATATTTAACACAATGTAATTTTTTTGCAACTGATGCTCTCTACACAATCTTTGTTCAGCATGGTCATTTTCATATTCTAAAAGGAAAGCTGCCCACATATTTCCTTTGTGCCCATGTGCAACAGTCCCGTCCATCTCATATTTCTATTATTCTTTTGATTTAGCTTTTGTCAGACACATCCGACTTGAGGCTACAGCATTCGTTGCCATGGTTACTTGGTTATCTATACATGGGATCCACCGATGTGACAGAGGCAAGATCGTCAGGTAAGATGCACATTGATATATCTGGGTTAGGTTTAGCAAGAGCTCCAACAAATAAGTCATAAATAAGAAAAATTGACTATTTCCTAGTAGGAATCCTTCCAGAAAAGGTTTACTACTGACATCCACTGTACCATTAATCTTGTAAAATCTATCCAGTTGAATTCAGTACGATAATTGCTGTTTTACGTTATCTTTTTAATGTATGAAATCACTTTCTTTGTTTAGTTATTATTGAACCACTTTACATTTTATAACCTGATTTCATGTTTTTTTGTACTTTACTGCAAATATGACAATATTAGTCTCTGGACTTTTGCCATTTTCTTTTTTTTTAATTACATTACAACCGAACTTGAAATGAAATGAATTGAATTGAAGCATTCATTTATCCCCATCTCATCTTTTCAGTTCCATCCAACTACAACAACCTGGAGGAGAGCAGCCTGTTGAGGGCAGCAGTCGACATGCTGATAGCTGCAGGAAGGCTTGGTAGCGAGGTGGTCCCTTCTCGGCATGTACTCACTGTACTGAAAGTACTACATGAATGCTCCGAGAGCTGCAAGAAGGCGTTACCACCAGTCAATTGGGCTGTGGTCCTCAACCCTATCATGAGGAACAATAGCTATGGTAAGAAGCTATCAGTTCTTGCAATCATCATTTTACAACCATATTTGCTACACTATTTTGCAACTCCATTTTGTAACCCCATTTGGTATTTTTTAACCACATTTTGTAGCCCCATTCGGTATTTTGCAATCTCATTTTGCAATCCCATTTTGGAGCCCCCATTTGGTATTTTGCAATCCCATTTTGTAACCCCCATTTGGTATTTTGCAATCCCATTTTGGAAGCCCATTTTTGCCATCCTGTGTTTTCATATACCATTTGCATTAATCTCTTTATAATAGTGAAAGCTGTTTAGTTACTCAATTTCGAAATTAAAAACTGAAGAAAGGTTTTTATTCATTATTTCTTTATCTCAAAGTGTGGCAAACATTTAGGAAAGTAAAAAGGTGTTATGACCTTGAAGTAAAAACAGAAATGACACCATTTTCTCACTCGAGCTTGAAAGTGTACGTTTAGAATTGTATTTCAAAAGCATTTCCATTTTTAATCGGATGAAATCCCTGCACCTGAGTGAAAATGAACATGGAGCAATTTTTATATAAGAGCACCATTGCAATACACCAGTTTACAGTTGTATCAGTGCGCATGCGCAGACATGGGCGCCATTTTAAATGGTGAGTAAACAAAGCCAATGACCTAGAGGTCATTTGGTTTGTGCGTAAATTAAGATTGCGCCCATGCAAATTATGATGTGAGCGCACAGCGCAGCGCGCAGGCAGTGATGTTATCATAATTTGCATGGGCGCAATCTTAATTTACGCATAAATACCACTGACCTCTAGGTCATTGGCTTTGTTTACTCGCCAATTAAAATGGCGCACACAACTGTAAACTGGTGTATTAACATACAAATTTTATTTCTGATATTTCTTTTTTGGTAGCAAATGGTGCCATATACTATGAGTGTATGAAGCTGGCAGTAGGACAGTGTGCTGTTGTGAGGTCAGCAGCGTTACAGAGCAATGCAAGCTTTGTAGCATCCTGGCTCTCTCCGTCTGTCTACCTTACCATCAAGGTAATGTATTGATTGATTATTTGGGTCGCAATATCATGTTTTCATCGAAGGAGGGAATTATTGTGAGAAATAGCTCGTCTCTTAAAAGTTCTAGAAGGGTATACTGATAACATTTCCCCCACTGATGATTAAAGTCAAGAATTTTTTTACTGTAAAGTCTCTGATAATTTGGTTGGTTGTATGGAACTACTTGGTTGGTTTGTTTGTTTTACCTGACTGCTATAAAGAAAGAATGTGTATGCTTGTAAGTAGGCAACCAGGGGACCGAGGGCTATACATGTAAGTCCTCTCTGAGGGACTTGGTAATGAAGATTAATGCCAACATGCTAAAGGGCATGTTGGCATCAAACTGGTTTTGAACCTGGGACCTTCCCGTTACATTTGAATGTTTTGTTTGGGAAATTTGAATTACAGGTTTAGCTATTTAAAATTATATATCTTACCTAAAAAGAGATGGAAGTGTGTCAGGTTAAATGTCATTTTTATCTGATTGAAATTTCTAACAAATGTAACACAACTACAAAGATTTTGATTTCATTATTTTCTAACAAATGTGATTGACAAATTCATTTCTTATTCTTCCATATCAAGTGTGAGTTATAAAGAAGAAACTTAGTGATTTGGAACTGCTATTACTTTTATGATTTCTTTTTCTTTTATGCAGGAAAGTTGTGAGAAACATCTCTTCCAATCTCTGCACATCCTTGTGGGCTGTATACCCCTTGAAATCCTAAAAGCCTTCCTCAGCGGCCAACTGGTCGGCTTGTTTCAGCATTCCAACACGCACTTCACCCATTGTATTACAGCATTACATGGCCTGAATTTAGCCGCTCAGGTTCCGGACCCAGCTCATGGAGTTGTCAATTTGCTGAACGAGACTGCACGGAAGATTTTTGCGAGCTTGCCATTTGACAAGGTAATAACAATAATAAACAGCATTTGTTTTGTGCCATTGATCTAGTAAACTATTCTGAGGCGCAGAGTGATCCCGATTATTAACCAGGCTTTAGCATGGCTGCCATTACGGCACTCTAGCATTTCAAGAAATTAATTCCTGCCAGGTGCCCATTTGCATCACCTGGGTTGAGTGTGGCAAATGTAGATCAATGTCTTGCCAAAGGACATTAGTGCCATGGTAGGATTTGAACTGCGCACCTTGTGATCGACGGTCCGGTGACGTATCCACTTGACCACGACACCTCTACATGTACTTGCAACATTGTTGTGATCTAAACATAAGGTTTCCTTGTGCAGTAGTGGTTATTGGAAGTACGTGTGGTCAAATCTGCATCATTGTTCATGTTAGAGATGGTTTATAGAAAAACTAGTTAGCTCCGATTCGTAGAAAAGCATAAACCATTAGATATATATATTGGATTGGATGCAGCTTCATTTTGATATTTTTTTACAAGAACAACGTAATAAATGAGAAATGTACATTCAGATGTGCACTTTGTCAGGTCTTGCACTGAATATGAATAACTAAAAGAAAAAAGAAGATATACGCTTAATACAATGTGTGGTGATTTGAAAGTGTTCCACTGTAGACATTTCTCAACGTTTTTTTTTACATTTTCACTGCCAAAAATAATTTGAATAGCTCTAGTTTTTGTTATTGCATGTGATACCTTTTCATGAAATATCACAATAGCTTCTCAAATTGTGAACTTTAATATCATAGAACAATATAGGTGTACATATCCAGATTTACAATGTAAAAGGCACATCAATTGAAAACTTGTCTCCTGAAATATAACTTTGAATTAATATTTGTAAATTTGGTGGCATGAAATGTATCAAAGGAATAATAAAAGATCACACAATAGCAAATCTGTTTTTAGCACTTACATGTTGGTTTCCAGTGTGCATGAGAATGTAAACGTGAATTGTTAGACTAATTTAATATCCACCAATCTCTGATTCTATTTATTTAGGAGTACGATTGCCTGCTCCATGCCCATTTTGCTGAATTCATTAAATATCTACCTATGGAGTTCTTGGAGGAAGTCACTCAGATGAAGGTATACTACATATTTAGCTTCACCATTATTTATTTGATTTATGTTATTTCATTTTGTTTCATTTCACTAGGCAAGGCCAAGCTATTTTGTCCCATATGTTACCGACCTCATATAAGATTGCAGTATATATGATCATGACTGTATCAAGCGGATAACTCTATTAGAATGTGAATCGGACAAAACATTGAATAAAATTATATTTGCTATGTCAATTTATGTCCACAATTCCATCGTAAAATTTCAGTAATACTTGGTAACTGATTCTACCTCTGTGTGATAAGAGTATGATATTCAACAATTATGCAGTTTGCGTTCTGGACGCGTCTTTTTGTGCCTCTACATTTCTTTAAGCTACCTTATATTACATGGCCCTGGGGAGTGTTTCACAAAGACTAAGATCGACTTTAAGTTGGACTTAACTACGACAGGCCATTCATGCCACTGGTTGCTCTCACCATTGGTCTCTCAATTATGATCTTTAGATAATATTTTTCCTTTGATAATGATCTATCAAAAAATGTAAATTCTGTAGATTTGTGACCACGATTTTGTACGTCCCTTGAGAAACCAATGCCAGGAAAGGTAAGAGGAACTAATGGCATGAACGGCCTGCCATAGTCCAAGTCCAACCTAAAGTCGAACTTAAAGACTAACATTGACTTTAAGTTGAACTTAATTATGGCAGGCCATTCATGCCACCATTGGTCTCTCAATAATGATATTAAGATACTGACCACAATTTGGTACGTCCCTTGAGAAACAATTGTCAGGAATGGTAAGAGCAACCAGTGGCATTAAAGGCCTGCCATAGTTAAGTCCAACTTAAAGTCGATCTTAGTCTTTGTGAAACACTCCCCTGAACTCATCAGTTTATAAAGAATGATTTGCAATGTATCTCTCAATCATTTGCAGGACCATCTACTGAAACCAAGCTTTATACGTGGATACTTGGTCAAACAGGGTTTACAACCAGTGCAATGGTTGAAAGACTGCGTAGGTGAGTAGATAGAGAGGACCTAGGAGGCTGCCTTGCGGTACTCCACAGGTAACCGGAAGTGTATAAGAATTATGATTGTATATTAGATACAAATCGAGTTATATCATTGAGATAAATCCTGAACCACTCCAAGGCATCTCCTTTAATACCATAGTGTGAGAGTTTATATATGTTTATCTACAAGGATGGCAGGTTACACTATTGGGGTAGGTTTCACTTTAAAACTCAATAAATAATCACACATCCCCTTTGTTTACATTCTCACTTAGCTAAACAAAAAAAAAGAGAGTTTCTGATTATGTTACTTCTATTTTCAAGCCATGAAATGCCATCTTTGAATGATTCTCTGTGCTATAAACAGTTGTAATCGATTCAAATTAATCACAATTCTGTACTAAAGAGGTGGGGGTACTTATTAGTTTGTGATTGATTGGATGACTTGTGATCAATCTGAATCAGTCGCAACTCTTTTTCAAGACATGTCCTGGAAATTGTATGTAGCATGAACAAGTTTCCAGATATCGGGCACATTTGTTTTTCCAACATCAAAATAACCGACTGTCTTTTTCTTTTGAAATGTACATTGTATTTTAAAGGTACTACTGTATGTCCCATTTGCAGGCCAAAAAAACGAAAAGGTTAAATTCCAACGGCATTTGAAAGACAATACTATTTTAGAACTTCCCTAAAAAAAGGGGGGCTCGAAAATGTCTTTAAGTGGGAAAATAATATTAGTTGTCAAATCGACTTAGGAGCTATAGAGCCAGTAAGTAATAGTCTGATTTTTCAGACCATTGTACCGAATGGTGGTACGTTTTATGCTGCGCAAAGATTCAATCGGTTTAATTTTGGCCATTACAAGAAGTGGGTTATTGATGTAGATACATTTTCATGTACCCTTTACAGCTCATTTTATGTATGTTATTTACCAAATATGAAGAAAAAAAGCCAGTCCGTCACCCAATAGTGTCTGACAGTGAACTTTAGCAAGTACACAGGTTTCCTTGCATAATTTTAATATTAGGACACTGCTAACGTTTAAATTTCACAGATAGGACATACATGACATATTCATAATTCCTGCAAAGTTCTACAGAATTTGATGTTGGCTGCATAAGGGACATAGTATCTTTAAGAATATATTCTTTAAGATATTTGGCACACTTACTCCTGTGGGTTAACATACCAGTAATTTTTAAATTAGAATAAAAACCTGTCTAACATAACAATACTAATACTAATAATATATCGAACATTTATATAGCGCACATATCCACCATGCAAGGTGCTTAAGGCGCTCCAAATATTACCCAGTTCTGCTAGGCTGCTGATTTCTGCGCTCACAGCATTCAAGGAATTCCTTCCTACCGGTACCCATTTAACACCTGGGTGGAGAGTGGCAAATGTAGATTAATATCTTGGCAAAGGACATTAAAGTGCTGCGGCGTGGCTCGAAACGTGGACCCTGTGATCCACAGTCTGACGACTTATCCACTAGACCACAACACCTCTACATACTGTCATGCCAATCTGCATGATTGCAGTTGTAGGCTTCCCATCATATATTTCTATTATGCATTTGTTTTTATTATATATTTCTTTTCTTTTTTTGAATATATCTACAGACGAGGCGATGAATGTTGGCAGCGAGTCTGACCAGTCAGTCATCCTGTGGTTCTTGATGATAGCCCTCGGACAGACGCCCTCTCAGCTCCCTGTCCAGGAGAGGGAGATGTGGCTCCAGCAACTCATGAATCACTTGAAAACCATTGCTTTTGGCAGAGAGTCAACACCATCTAGCAGTACACGAGAACCTCATCAGGTACTATTAATTTGATGTTCAAATTGCTTTGATTGTGATAACCGTTCTCTTTTCAATTTTCTGTGCTTTTGTTGTTGATTTTATTTTGTAAATTTGAAGCACTTTATGTTGTTGTTGTTTATGCTGATTGTTAGTTATAATTCCATGTAACATGACATCTTTTAATACTCTTCTTTTTTTTAGGGGGAGGGGTCTTTTCTTGTTAGTTTTATAGTTTTCTTCCTTATTGTGTAGAATACTAGAATATATTTGATATTTGGGATCCCACATTTTTTTTTCTTTGTACTCCAATAGAGAATCAACTTCCTTCTAGAAGTGTTTGCCATCTCCATTGTGACCTGGTCTTCTCCTGAGTTCACCCACATCTGTGGTCCCCACCCCCATCACTATGTCTATGGAACCTCCCAGGGAACTGGCCAATTAGCTGCAGGTATTGAAGGAGGAGAGGAGGAACTGTCTTCCACAGAGTCTTGTGAGAGCACCCCTGATTGGCTGCAGCAAGTCAATGAGAATAGTCCACTTGGATGTGGGGAGTATGGGAGGCAGACTGTGCAGAGGGTGAAAGGATTTCTACCTGGCGCTCTGTGTAGACTGGTTAGCAAGGCCCCCTGGGATGGCATGAGAGGCAAGGTGAGAATATGGTTTGTCTTTTTCTTTCATTTCCTCCCAATAAATGATTAAATCACACCCTTCTTCATTCTTTTTTTGTACTTTCTCTTTTCCTTTTCTTCTACCTGTATGTTTCTCTTTATTATATTATTACTTTATGTAATTTTTGATGATAAATACAAATGAATTTAAACTTTTTATTTTTTTCATGAATGATTTTTATGCAATAGTGATATTGCCAATTCTCCATTCAACCAACCAACATAATTTAGGTTCATGATGCTAGCAGCGCATTAATTATGAGCTTGCTCATTACTACTTGAAAGCTAAATCCTAAAGCTCCTCAACTAGGGCCATGTAACATGAAGAGTTTTGGTTGATTGTATCTCCCCTAAATTGATTTCCTTCCATAAATTGTAACTTTTGATAAATGAAGTAAATGATAGGTTTCAATTAATTGTTATACAAATGGTGAATGGCCATGAGTGCAATGGTACAAGATTTTGCACGAGGTGAAAGATAAGAGATGCTATATTCAATGAGGCGCAGCCGAGTTGAGTGGAGCGTCTCATCTTTTACCGAATGCAAAATCTTGTTTCATTGCACGAATAAAGACCATTCACTACCGTATTTGTTTATACAACACCTCGGACGTTAATGAGCTTAAACCAGTTTTCCTGGGCCTAAATCTCAGCGATGTTTTGTTTGTTTTTAATTGATGAAATTGCCAATAGTGAGCGCGCACTATTAAGCAGGCAGCAAACCATGCGCATACCATGCGCCGCGCTTACCAAGCTTTATGTGTATTGTGACGCGGAGTGCAATTTTGTTTGATCCGTTGGTACCATTGCACAGGGACGTCACTTACCTCACCATATACTTAGTACATCGTTAGTGACGTCAGCATGCAATGGTGCAAAAAGGATCACACAGAATTGCACGGCTGGAGAATGATGCCGTTCAACAGTACTTATATGGCACATGTCATGTGATCAATAATTGACCATTGAGGTTGCAAGAATCTTAGTAGGCGTTGTATAAATGCTGGTGATAGATAATGCATTGTAAGTTACGATTGATTAGAGGGCGATTGGAGCTTCAATAGATTTTCACAATTGATTGGTAAAATGAATCCAAAGAATATCATCAATCTATACAACAGTCACTCATACATGTACAGTTAACAAAGAAATTATTCATACCCCTGGGCTCTTGTAAATGTGATGATTTTTGTGTATTTTGTACCCAAATAAAAACTGGTGGACTGGTTGAATTAGGCCCTTTGTTAAAAACTTTTAGATGTAAGCTTTAATATGTCACATTCTCAAGAATGTACAGTTAACATGTACAGTTAACAACAAAATTATCCATACCCCTTGTAAATTTGACGTTTTTCTCAAGATTCTCAAGATACTGTACATATATCGAGACAAATCAATTTTTCAAAAGGTACATTAAGGGTATAAATAACTAAGTTGTTTACTGTATGTCTTTCATATATATATATATTAATATGTATATACTCTTTGTCTACCGGTCCAGAAAGATCACAATTTTTCATTGATTTATTCCCTTCAGATCATCGAGTGGTTGATCAACATGAGTATAGACAGCAAGAATGAGCTGGTTACAGAGCCAATGAGAAGAGAGCTGAAAGGTACAGAATTCGTCCTCTTTTTAAAAAAATTCTGACATGAAACAAATTTAAAATCAATATTTAAAATCAATGAACCTCTAATAATAATAATAATAATAGGCATTTCTATAGAGCCATCTATCTAGACAATTCTATTCCGAGGCACATTTATTACTACCCTGGCTTTAGCCTAGCAGCCGTTTATTCATCGCTCCAGCATTTCAAGGAATTAATTCCTGCCAGGTACCCATTTACATTACCTTGGTTGAGTGTGGCAAATGTAGATCAATGTCTTGCCAAAGGACATTAGTGCCGAGGCGGGACTCGAACTGCGGACCTTGCAATTGACAGTCTGTCGACGTATCCACTCGACCACGACACCTCCTTTAATAACTGATGATGATGATAATTATAGTTGCCAGGAATTAATATTTAGCCATATTTTGTGGAATCTGTGGTTCTTCTTAAACGTCCCTTTTCACATAATTTTAATCTACCGCAATCACGTTTGGACTCGGCAATCAATGGCTTATGAGATTGGTGTGAAATCGTTTTCATACTATTTTTCCAGTCACTGTTCCATCTCAGAGAGGTTTTGAACTTTTTTCCTCATTTTTGTTTCTGTTTTCTTATTTGTCTTTACAGGTTGCCTGTATGCATTACGTCACTATAATGAATTCAGAGCTAACTCACAGTGGATGAAGATTTTCGACAAGTGATGATGATGCTGATGATGATGGTGGCCTGCTTGTCTAGTGCCGATGTCTTTCGGTCACTTGATGGAAGTCTGCAAGCACAGGCTCTAGACACTTCAGCATCATCTACAATATCTTGAAGGATTGCTATTCTGCAAGTACAGACCCTACTCTGACAATCCGACAGCATTTACAGTGACCTGATATATGTGTAGTCTGTGAGTGCAGACTCTAAATGGACACTTCACCAATATTTGTGATGACTTGAACAATGTGTAGTCTGTGAGCACAGACTTTACTCTGACCCAACACTCATGATGATTTGAAAGATGTGTAGTCTGCAAGTACAGACCTTACTACGATTTTTTCAAGAGCATTCATGTCGACTTGATAGATACATATATGTAGTCTCTGTGCTCAGACAGTTCTCAAACTCTATTCTGACACTCCAGCAACACATGTGAGGATTTGATAGATACTTGAATGTAGTGTGTGAAGTGAGATCAGCCATTTTTCTGACAATCCAACAGCATTCATGTTGGCTTGATGGATGTGTATGTGAGCACAGGCTCTACTTTGACACTTCAAAAACCATGTACAATGAAGTCTTGATAGATCAAAGATTTTGAGGTCTAAGTCCATCAAAAGAAGCTGAAAAAGTGGCCACTGTAGACAGGTGTCCTTTCTAAACAGGTTGTGAAACCCATATATCTTTCTTAGGGGAGACAGTATAGGTGACCACTGTAGACAAATTGCTTTAACAGAGAGATAGCTGCTAAAGTTACTGACTCAGCTCTGTCTGTTTTCTAGAGAAATCAGGTTCATTCAAAGAGTCATGGTATCATTGGTAATGTACATTCTTTCACATGGCGATTGTATAAAATGTTATTTCATTGAGAGATAATTTATCAATGCATGAAATTTCATGAAATTAAAGGCCTATTCACAAATGCTGTGGTAAATCGATTTTACCTTGTCTTTTTTTTTTCTTCCAAGCGTTTTACATTTTTGTATCATATAACTTAATAAACAAACAGATAAGTGAGTATGCATGGGATCTTCTACGCGTAGCTACTTTTTCCATCCCTACAAAAAAGCTTCCGCAATTTGTTACACCATATGTGAATGAGCCTTATATGTATCATCATGACAGAATTTATATAAAACTGCATTCGAGAGATACAACCAGATTATGAATGTCAGTGTAAAGTAATATCTGAAATCAATGTTGAGATTGTGAATGAACTTTACCATAATGAACATATTTTCTCAGAAAACACAGCAAATGAAACAAAATTGCCTTTCATATTGGCTGAATTATTTTGTACCAAAGAAAGCCATCTTTGTTGTAAACAGAGAGATGTGTATTTTATTTTCTTGTATCTATTGGGCATTAAAATTCACTTGCCAATGTCTGCATAAAATGACAGCAAATACCATATTCATATCGTAGCAGACGTGCAATTGCATGCGTACAGTAATGCAGATTCTCTACTTAATGAATATTGTTTGTTGTTTGTAATTGAAACATGAGTAAAGTTTATGATTATGATGTACCAAAGAGCAATACACTGCATTAAAAATTACATTAATATTCTGTTTAGTACATCATAAGCAATAAAATTCAATTTTATTAATCCTAACTGTACTTTGGTTTCATTGTAGTTTTCATCATTTACAAATCAAGATGTGATGAGTGGGCTCATATTATTATTATTATTATTTTTTTTTTTTTTTTCGGGGGGGGGGGGGGGTTGTTTGTTGTCTTCCATGTCAACTAAAGTAGCAATGTACAAAACAGTACTCCACTATAATAGATTTTGCATTGATTTGATTTTGAGTTAATTATAACTTCATCATGTCATTTTAATGATATTACTGGTCATCTGCAGAATAAATATCCCGACCACACAAGTACTCATACCCCTAAACCTAACACTGACCCTTACTTGTAATACATTGTACAGATACGTGGTGGGATATTCTGCAGTTACACCCATTTGAATTTATTTGAATTATTTGAATTGATTGATTTATTTATTTCATATGCTTGAATATATATATATATACAAAAAAAATATACAATGTAAAGAGATGGAGGATATTATAAAAATTTGCAATAGTTCATCAACAATTGAGCAAATTTGACACTTTGAACATAATTGACAGTAAAACTATTTCTATGTGACATGTGAAAATGAGGGCTGATTGAAAAGTGTGGCTTTTAATGATAATCCCCACTTAAAGCTTAAGGACGTCTCAATATAAGTTGGTTAAGTATTTATTTATAATCATCAATAAAATTTGAAACTGTTTTTTTTTCAGTGTTTAACAAGAGGATATGACGAGGACGGGGTACAAGGTCAAGCAAAAATAGATAAATAAACGTAGAAATGCAGTGAAGAATCTTGAAATATTGATGTGACGCACAGTTAAAGAGAAAAGCAATCATAATTTTGGAGTAAAACATAATAAACGACTGTATCATGAGAAGAGATTCTAACGGGCGAGGATTATATTACATGTACTTTGATAAGAAGGAAGCTAACTTTGGCTTCTTTGTTCATGTGATTAATTATGGATTAAAGCAAGAATGATGATCACATGTTCATGTGAATTCGGTCGGATAGATATAAACTTCTAAATGAACAACACCTTTTTTGTTTAAAACAAACATGTTTAGTTACATAAAAGTATGTCAAAAACGTTTAGTTACATAAAAGTATGTCAAAAACTAAAGACTTTCCACTGATCAATAATTTAAATGATTTTTATGCTGGTCACGGAAATGAAATTTCTTTGAGTGGCAGCCGCAGAGTGAAAACCTTACTCTGTGATGGCAGCAGACAAGTACACACACACACGCACACACAAAACAGAAAAAATATAGAGAAGTTGAAAAAATGCAATATACAATAATGATAGTTCGAATGTTGTATTGGCGGATACATTAAAGGTCCCTAAACGAGTGAAATGTTTGAAAACTGCAAAAGTCAGCGGCGTTTGAACAATCCCATTTTATATAACATCAAAATAGATCCTTGTCATTTGATGGAGGAATGTTCACATGATATTCAATAAATAATCTATATGAGCGCGCAATTTTTGTTCTATTCAGCGTACATTTTTGGTTATCTACTTAGATGTTATATAAAACAAAAAATGAATGTTTTTCATTCGTTTAGTAGTGCGAATATTTCCATTCGTTGAAAGATTACATAACTTTCTTTTAATAACTCATGAACTTTCATTATTTGTATACTATATATACATGCATTATATGGAAGAACAGTCATTCATTCTAAAGTCTGAACAGATACATCTGTGCTTTGGATATCTTTTGAAATAGTATATCTCTCGTCTACTTCTTCAGTCTCGTTGTTGTTGACGTCATTTTTGCTTCCTGCGACGTCAGATTTACTTGCCGTGGTGTCATCTTTACTTGAAGAAACGCCCTCCTTCTCGCGGCATGAGACGCCCTTTTTCTCGCTTGCTGAGAGGTCACATTCATCCGCGGTGCTGACGTGTTGGCTAGCGGCGTGGGGGTGGTCTTCAGTTCGAGCTTCCTCGAGGGCCATTAGATCAACCGCATCTTTGCTGTCTTCTGTCGATGTAAAGATAAGAACGCAACAACATAATGCTC